TTTTTTTTTTTTTTTACAAAGCTATTAATAATTATTAAATTAAATAATAAGATCTATTAGCATCCAGTTATTATACTACTATAAACGTATTAATATTATGATGTATTTTATTTTTTTTACTTTTATATTTTATCGCTTAAAGGTTTTTTAATTACTTAATGATTCAAATGAAATGCGTATTCAATAGTAATAATTAATATTTAGGGTTCGGGATTGATATATAATCGTAGACTGTCGTACGATATTTATAACCCAACCCAACCTATCAGTTTGGCCTTTGGGTGCATGCTACGCTTGATAAATTATGGTCGTATTCATGTATATTAAAATAAACTTTTATACTGGTTAAAAAATTACATTGTGTAATGTACAGTATTACATATTATTATTATAGTAAATTGTATTTAAAATTAGATTTTAATATAATAATTGCCTAATGGCGTATTACTGTTTATGAAATAATTTATCTTCAACATTGTTTTTCGCATAATTTATTTACTCGACAAAAGCACATAAAACGCATTATAATTTATTTGAACTCACGCGAGATTTACATATTTTGGACAATACACTATATTATGTATACGTACCGTCAAACTGCGGTGGTTTGTGAATAAAGCAAAAGCCGTCGGACGGCGGTCGGCGTTTAATTCGTTTTGTCTCGGAAATTAAACCGATCATCGATGTTAGAGTTCGCGAGCGAATGACGATTACCATGTTTACTACTATACGAGTACGTTATTATGATGATGATAAAGAGCGCGTGTCTTGCGGTTTGATCGCGTACGGCAGAGACGATTATTTGCGCGCGTGTCGAGTATCGTGTCCGCCTACAATATATTTTATACTCTTCACGACGTCTAGCACGCGTATCGTCTCGCGTTCACCGCATCATCTCGTCGCGTTAAAATCTAATTATCTTTTTTCAATAGAACGATATTAAAAAATTATTATTTATAGGGTGTAAGAAATCGCTCGTCTGCATAATAATCGCGTCTACACCGTCAATTAAATAATATACGTATACGTACTACAGCTGACGACCACCTGCTATGTAACCGCGCGATAACCCATATAAACGTCAAGACGGATAACACGGCTGCAGTGTTGTGTGCACTAGACAGTTTTACATATAGGTAATATAACACACTACGAAACATTATTATTATCATTTTTATTTCGTAAAACTCGCGTATTATTACGTTAATTTTTTTTTTTTTTTTTTTTACAATTAAGTAGGTACCAACTAATTAAATCCCTAGCAATTTATTTTACATAAAAAAAAAAAAAAAGAAAAGAAAAAGAAACGATTTTACGCGATTGCGTGTATCGTACAATAATTATTATTTAAAAGTAGATTTCGAACGAGAACGCGCAAGTAGACAGTTAAATCGCACCTACTTGAACACGCAGTATAAACATATATATATATATATATATATATCTACACGACATATAGGTACCTAAATACGGTTACGCGCGTGCGTGTTTACAATGCGTGTTGTCATAATTATTTTATTATAACGTAGCGCCGTGTCCAGTGGCGACCGACAAAGGTTATTCCGCTGTAATAAACGTCGCATCACTACATCAGGCACACGTCGGGCACGCGCCCGTGTATAATAAATTCATCGAATAATGTGTACGTGCGCTTGATGGAGGTGGATCAGGTAGTATAGATTTTACAAAAGGTATAAATTATTGTGTACGTACAGTGTACACAAACTCTGCACGGGCATTAGAGTTCCATACTCATCGTTAGACAACAATGCGTGTAAATCGTAAGTACGACATTTTTATGCCCCCCCGTGTGTGTGTGTGTGTGTGTGTGTGCGCGCACGAGACTAAGTGTCCTATACGTTTGTAATTATATAATGGTCGCAGTGTAGGCGCGGCGGCGGCGGCGGCGGCGGCGGATGGATGGGTAAAAAAAAAGTGGCGATTTATAATATAAGGGTATATATATATATACTCGGCGCGCGCGAAGGGTTGTGTGAGAGTAGTTCCGGGCACGATTTCCCACGAACTCTTCGCCGGAGAAAATGCTTTCGGGGTGAGAGACCGTTCCCGTCTGCATATACGACCGCGGCGCGCACACACGCAAAACCATTGTATTCGATCGCCGCCTACGGTCACACGCCAAAACCACCCCTTTGACCTCACGCTTATTATGTACAGTGCGCGTATATCAGTATATGTATAGTATACCGGCGGCAATATAAGCGCCTACGTATTTGTGTGTTGTATCGAACAGTAATAATACGTCCGCAAACACCAGACATTTAGTCGACACTCGATCCCCTCCCCTGTGCGCTGCGGGGTTATCGTCCGTGCGATTGACGACTGCGATGTATTTATTATATTTTACACGACGATCTACCGTTATAACGCGCATCGATATATTAATATTATATATATATATTATAATGTGTTGATACGGTCGTCGTCGAGTACTGCAGTTTTCGAGAAAGGGGTCGCACGGGAATTACACTGCGCGCTGTGTATAATATAATATATAATATAATATAAAGTTATTAAAATTACATTATATGCATGCATATTGTGTGCGGACGAGGAACTATGCGAGTGCATGTATTGTTGCGCGAGCGGACACATGTTAATTATTATTATACACATCGGGATCGAATTTTTTCGCGTGTGGGCGACCTGTGGACCGTTAAGATTTTTCCTCTCGGGCCGTGTGACTTTTGCGGGAAATCAATCGTTTTGCGCCCCCGCGCCGCACTATATGCGAGGTTCGACACTAAACACTTGACGTTTTTTTTTTTTTTTTGATCTACAGCGGGGGTGCACGTCTCGTTCGTGTTCGCCCACGCGAATCCTGCTGCACAGATGCGGTGCACTGTACGCGCCACTGCTGCAAGTACGACCTTTGTGGTGGTGCTCGCGGCCCTCGAACTGCTAGGCCGTCATTTTCTTCCTGCCCGTTTATCGCGTCGAGATTCTCCATTTATACCTGCGCGTACGAGCTTGATACGTCACGACGTTACGTCGATGTGCAACGGAGCGTATAACGTTTTTTTATGACGTAAAAATATATTTTCTCACAATTAGGCGATTCGCGCGGACTCTCCCCGCGCTCTATCCCCGTGTCGTGTCGTGTAGTAAATTACTTTTTTATCGTTTGTACACCGCGAACCGTTTATACCGTTTTCACATTACGCGCGCTGCGTTTTATCCCCATGTGCAGCGTAGGTAATTGCGGGGGAGTAATAATACTTGGCGATAATCTATGCAATATACATCGTAAACACAATAACCGTACAACTACGACGAAATTATTTATCTATGAAAAATGTAAACGAGCGATTAAATTATTATTGTCTTATGGTGTTTTTTAAAAATGATAAACGTTCGACAATCATTTAGTGTGTTTTATTTTTTATACCTGTATATAATATTATTGATCAAGTGCTTTCGGTACAAGATAGCCGTGTTTATACAGTTAATAATGTACCTACTAAAGATAAACCATTTCAGCAATTTCACTTCCACTGATATATTTAGGTATCTTTAAAAATCAGAAATTAAGTAAAAGTATAAAAGTCTACTCTGGTAATATATTGAATTTTACTTAAGTCATGAAGTACTCGTAAAATATTAGTTTTATGTTTTATTTAATACACTTATTATAATATATATTATGAGTTTTAGTTTATCCGATCCCTATCTAAGCGCCCTTAAATGGTTTTTGGTGTTCGTGGTTTTAACATTTTTTAAATATCAAATGTTTTTCGCGTGTTTTTAAATAATGCATTTTTTTATAGTAGTATTTGCTTACTATTTTTTTTTTTCGTTGCAAATAAATCATATGTATTAGTAACCGCTTACTGCGTTAAAAACACAAAAATGTTGGATACTTTTCAAATATAAAACGCTTGCCAAACCGTCATATATGATAGTGAAAAATTTTTTTCGTGGGTTAGATCCCTCACGAAAACTATATAAATCGCCAAAATACAATAAACTTTTATGTATTTATTAATTTATATAAAACTATGTATAAATAAATTGAATAATAAATTAGGTTTATTTTAGTAAATATTTCATATACATAATTCGTGTAATCCTGTTGATTATAAAAACCCGTAAAAATATAGAAAATACAATGAAAATTGAAATTGTTTTTACATTTTGCCATATTGGTGATGTCGATAGCTAATTATAATTTTATTTTATGTTTATTACTGTACCTAATATCTATTCAATATTATAGAATATTTAAGGTGATTCAAAATTTATGTCATAGCAATTTTATCATATAATTATACATAATAGAAAAAAAATATTTTTTTTTTTTTTTAGAAGTATCATAAATGAATAGTAATTTAAATTTTTTATACATTTTTACAATAATTTTGGGAGAGTTTTGGGAGTTAACTTAAGAAATTCAAATGAAAACTATACTTTTTTGGCAATAACAATGTGAAAAATATATTTGAGTATTTTAATGTTTGAAAATAAAAAAAATCGAATGAGTAGTTTATGAGTTATCAGTGTCTAAAGTTTTTAAGTTCAGATAAACGAAGTGAATTAGCACAAGTATACCCCGTAAAATGTTGGTCTCCGCTCGGTTAATATATTTTAAAGACTATTGGTTTGGAAGTTAAAGGAGCTAAAATAAGATTATAAATTATAGTTTAATAAGGACTTCTAATTTTTAATTTAAATTTATTTATTTAATAATTTTATATTGGCTATAACATAAATTTTGAATTGCCCTGTATTTATATATAATTCTATATTATAATAAATTAAACACAGGACATATATAACATGTATAACATATGTTGTATCCATAATATATAAAGTACTTACTAATACAGTATTTATAATTGATAATTGATAGTAGGTATATATTACTGTTGTTTTATAGTTAATTTTTGTCATTTCATGTATAAATAATGTATAATAAAATAATTATTAGCAATATTTTATTATTAACGGTTTCTTATGTTGTATATATATTATGATTTCAGTTGTGCTCAACTCGGAGAAATTATGCGGCTGAATTTAAACAGTACCCAAGAATCGGATATAAAAGAGGAGTGCCTGGATGGAGTTAAAGTAATAATATATTAATTTACGCATAATGATTTTGCGTCGATTTTAAACACTGAGTTCGAAAACTTAAATAAATAACTTCATTAGGCAAAGACAGGATTAGTGCGAGTGAACGATTCTAATAGAGGTTCATTAACTGTACGGCTGGTGTTAACGCTAGAATGTCTGAAACTCCAGAAACAAGAAGTTGTCGACAACCATCAGTCGTCGTCGTCTTCATCGTCCGAGGATACCATCGACAACTATCAACCTAGTCCAAACTATTATGTATGTAATTAAAATAATGATTTAAATTTTACTTTATATTAATTTACACTCCGTATATTTCCCACCACTGCTCTCATACGTATTGTATATGATGCAATTTTTATACGATTTAGGTATTTAATTCATACAATGTGTAGTTGTTTAAATATATTTTTTAACAATTTCTATACAATTATATATGATTTATAAGATAATTAAAAAAAAAAATATATCACATCGTATTATCACAAGTCACAACACTAATAAAAATTACATAAAAAATGTAAGCAAAGATATCCAATATTCTAATTCAAAATTTGGATCACCCTATGCATAATATATATATAATATAAACGTACCCATATAACGAAGTTCCATCACTGAATAATTTCTTCTCTCAAGTCACCTTCAGTCTATAAAACGTTGCTAATTTATTCGATTAATTTAATCTTATCTAATTAACTTTTAAATATAATTTGCGCTTATTGTAAAAAAGAAAAAAAAACTATTTACAGATTGTACAAATTCTAACTTAAAAAAAAAAAAAACTAATTAAGTACAATATAGTGTTTAATACAATAATAATCTATACAATAGGTACTAAGTAAAAGTTAAACAATGTTGTTCATTCCACTTTTTGTTTGGCTGCAGTAACTATAATAACACGATGGTTTTTTTTAAATAATATTACAGTTGAGATATGTGACCGTGACAAGAAAAAACGGTAGCCTTGGAATAAGCGTCAAAGGTGGTCAAGAGAACAATTTACCGATATTGATATCGAGAATTCCCGAAGGAGGAGCCGCTTACCACACCAAAAGGTTATTTGTAGGAGATGCTATTATAAAAGGTATAGTGCAATATATGATCCACAATTCTGATTTATCTTAAACATAAGACTTCCGTATTTTAACAACATTTCCGCTCAGTATCGTTTTTCAGTATAAACTTAATGGCTTAATATTGTTTTCAAATAGATAATGCGTAAAAAAAGAAATTCGCCCCGATTGATGAGTGTTTGAGCACAGCTATAAAAATAACTATCTCATTTATCATTGTGCTTAAGTTAAAAAAACAATTTTTGTAGAGTGAACAATGTATTGGCAAACAAGTGTGCTTTTGAAATACAGCGTCAGTGTAAAGTTTAATATTATTGTAGTATGAAAATAAAAATATTTCATAAATTATATATATATTTTTTAAATTAACTCTTGGGTGTACAGAATAATTCTAAACTAATACAAATGCATTTAATAAATACGAGTATGTATGTACAATGTTGGTACCTTATACATAGGTACAAATTAAACTATTTACAAAATTATATACGCATATACATATGTATATATATTTTTATTTTTTTTTAAAGGGAAATTTGATAAATGGTGATTGTGCTAATTGTAATACAAACTATGTTGTATTCAAAGAAATTTAATTTAAATACATAAAATCTAACAATATTAATTTCCGTCGGTAGCACATTATCCTACTTAATATTTTTAATAATGTTGTGAAGACTTTTTATACCGTTTATTATTTATACCGAACATCCCCCTGACCCTTTCAGTCACTTCCACCTAGGTATGATTTATGAAAGTATACATTGTGAAAAGCTGTTATAATGTATAAGTTACACCAGTTTTTATATCTTGTTATTGTGATTAATGAATTTTCTTTACAACAGTGAACGATCAGTTGATCACAAACGCTTGCCACGACGCGGCATTACACATTTTGCGGAATTCTGGAAATCATGTTACATTATTAGTCAAGCACTACAAAGCTGCAGCGCCTTTTTTATTAGGAGCTAGAGGTAATTATTTTTATTACTAATTTGTTTTATTTAAGTAATTACTTTATCATATAAGATTTTGTATTGTTATTAGTGGTATTTAAAAATGATCAATAACTAAATTAAAATAAGGTAATAGGTTCTACGGCATTTCTGATGAAAATTACAGTAGGTAGATATAAACAGTGACTAAAAATATTGAATATAACTTATGAGTGAGTTATATTGGATGATGATGATTGATTGTATAAAATTGTTAATATTAATATACAGCTAGCTTAAAAGAATTTGGAATTTTAAAGTTTATGTGTAAGAGAAGTTGCTATAACGTACTAATGAGTGACATTGGCCGTACAATAAAGGAATATTGATTGAAACAAATGTTCAGTATATTGTAAAATTTTATCGATTTTCTTAATATATCAAACAGGATACGATCGGATATTAGAAAGCGTGCGAACACAATCAGTCATCTCGTCCATGGACGGTAACAATACCAAATAATTTTGTAATGGTATCACGATTGTATTACTAACATGTAATAATAAATCCTCTCAGTAGCAATACAATTATCTATTTCATAATTGATTAATAATTCATTGTAATATAATAAGTGTACAATATTTTTAAATTTTTACAGCCGGATTTTTCATTATCATTTTAACTTGAAAATCAAATTCACGCCAAACCTGTACAAATAGTACTGAAGTTTGATATTTTAACTACTCCGTCCCGTGTTTGAATATCGTATAGATCATCATAATACAAATTATTTGCTTATAGTTTATAAGTTTCATACTGAATGGAATATTTGATTTATTAGAATGTGTCGGAGTCTGTTGGGAACTTGTCAGTTTTGCATTGAGAAACTTTCCGTTTGATTTTATAGAGATGATTCACATGGGTATTTTGTTAATGTGGATAAATAGCTATCTGAGTGTCTGGTAATTACTTGTGAAATATTGCATTGTAATTGGAGTATTGAGTACCGTAAAGTATAAAAAAAATATATATAGTCCGAGTTGCTAGCATTTGTTTTTTTTTTTCTAAAACTATAACGTATACAAGTAAAATACATGTTTTTTAATGGAACTGAAAAAACTTGTATCTTATAATAAAATACAGCGTTATCTATTGTACAAGTTAAATCGTGTCATTGCACCTATATATTCTAAATTTATAAAAATATGAATTGTCAGTTATCATTTTTATTAAGTTATTTAAACATATAATTTCATTTGAAAATAATATTACAGTTATACTTTTAATAACTATCCAATTACTTAAAATATAATTAATCATAGATATTATTTCTACGCTTATGCATAGCATTAGTAATAATAATTAATTGTTGAGAAATCGTGTCCTCATCTCCATTCATATTAATTAATTTATGTTTCATAGTAATTTACGTAATAATTAAAGTTTGATATAGATAGATTGTAAATTATCATCTATAATATATTCACACACACTCGGGTATAAAGTATAAATGATAATATTGAAGTTGTTTAAGTATATGTATATTTTATGTCTAATAAATTATATCTTCGTTTTTAGACTTATTCATAAAAATTCAAATTAAACATATTGATAAAAAAATTTCAATAGGTAATAATTAATAATATGGTTTTAATCGTTTTAGGGAAGAACAACAACAATAACGGAGAAAGTGACACAGAAGATGGACCGTGGGTGGATTATCTTATAAGTATGATTATCTCAACAGTTCCATTTACGTATATATTTGTATATTTTAATGATTTTAATTTTGAATTCAGTACCACTGATGATGGGTTATGTAACCAGATACGTGCAGGGTACGGACAAACTGCGGCGAAACGGTTTCGAAGTGCACGGAATGAACGATCAGAATTCTACAATCATACATTGCGATAATGTCAAAAGTTTGTCCGAATGGGTTAAACTTATTTCAGAGAACATTTCAAATCTCTCAGAAATACAAGTAGTAACCTAAGCCGTTATTTCCGTTGCCATCGGTGTATCGATAACATCACTAGGTATTAAGTTTTTTTTTTCTTTTCAGATTAAGCTGTACAATTTAAATTTTGGTATCAACGAGAAAATTGAGTACATGGGATGGGTAAACGAGGGGGTGCTAAACAATAATCATCCTTGGCAAAGTTACTGCGCAAGATTCATGATAATCAGAGGTCGTGACGTATTGCTTTTCGACACACCACCGGTAAGTGTCATTGAAACTTAGTAGGTTTATAACGGTTTGACATTTTCGTAGAAGTATATTATATAATAATGTTTCATCCATTTGTTTATACGCGTGCACGCACACGTAGGAACACATTACTGACGTTTTATTCGACGCATAAAATTCTACGTCTGTCCATATACTATACCATACCGTAAACGATTTATGTCTTATATATACCTGTAATAAACAGTTAAACCTCCTTAAGACGAATTCGCTCGGGACCAAGTGATATTTCCGACTTCCGTAGCAAAGAAGTTTTCATTAAAGAAGCATTAAGAACCTTTACGGGATATATATACGGACTACTGTTATTTGTTGTTGTAAGGAAATTTTTGTTTAATAGGGAATCCGTTACAAGGATGATTTATTTTACTGTACATTATGTACAAGTCTTCTCCGTCAACACACCACCACGAAAATAAATAAAATTACTGTAGATATCTACTACATAATATGTGGAAATATAATCTAATTTAATCTTATAAGGTACAGTCTGATCTAAAATCTTTATTGTCATGTGCAACACTCGACGTTTTGCATATAACATTTGTTCATTAGTACCGTTAGGTACAACACTATTCATTTTATTATATTACCTATATTACTGCATTTGTAATATTTTACAAGAAACAAAATTCGAATAATTTTTGAAAATAGATAATTTTTACGCATAGAAACATTTTTTCACCAGCTAATTTTAAGCTACCTACTATTTGAATAGTACCTAAGTATGATTAATCATTGTTAGGTATAGCTGAATTAATTACACAATGAACCGATGGATATGCACTGTTTAATATTTTATGAGTATAATCCATTAACATGGTTTGTTGTAATACTTCAAATATTATATGTATATTATGTAAATGTATATCGTTCATTTAATAGGGCTTATTAAATATACTTCACTGAAAGTGTTCACTCTATTAAACTCATAAATAACATATATATATATATAAAGTGTGCGCGGAGTAGTGAATGACGTAAGTATTGTATTTCATCTTGTAACTGATAGGCAAGTGGTAACTGTTCGGAGAGCTAATTAGTAATTCAGGATTCAGGACTAATTAAACTATAATACCATAAACTTACGACAAACGACGTTATTACTAGTCGGAAAATTGCTATTGGTGTTCTATTATAAAATAAATATGTTGTCGTTTAGAAACTTCAATTCATAATGCTTAACACGATCGTAAACAAAATATATTAGTCTACAAAAAAAGATGTCTTGAATGTACGTCATGGATATGGATTTCTCATTTGGTGTTATTTACTTTGTAAGTTAGCATCACTGTTAAATTAATTAAGTTACAGAGTTTGCCGAGCTCGAGTGTTGGTCGTTTACCCACAAGAAACTTTTGTCAACAAAAGTCGATTATATTGTAGATATTAAAAGATATACTTAATGTTTATGTTTTTTGTCTTCTTTGATATCCTGTAAAAGTCGCAAAGTTGCAATAGTTTAACAGGCTTGTATGACACATATACACATGACCACATGATCATAATTTAAGTACTTTTTTGTTTTGGCGGAGAAAATTGTATTTTAAGTTAATATTACTACTAATTAGTGATTTAGGTGATCTGCTTTAAAAAAATATTTTCCGAGCTAAATGCTTATAATATTTATGAGTATTAGATTTAATGATGAAACTATTGTATCTAAATATTGTAGGTATCTCTTTAAAAGCATTCTGTATACTATGTTATATTTATTTATAGAGTATATTTACTACCATATTCCGTTTAACTACAAATTCAATAAAATTCTGATATTAACATTTTACAATTTGTAAGTATAACATAAGGACAATATTTTCAAATACTCAGATATTTTATATCATTCAAGGAGTGTCTTGTGGTGAAAAAACTTTCTACTTATTATACACAGTCACACAGAGAAATCATAAAATATTATTGATCAGTGATTACTATAATTATTTTCAAATCATGCTAATCTCCATGTCTTTCAAACCTATTATCTTCAGTACATGACGTTAAAATATTATTCTAAAACTTTTCATTCGAATTTTGATTGAAAAGATAACAATTAGAAGAAAAATCTGCTTTACAATTGTTACGTGTTTTGAAAAAAAGAAGTCGATAAATAAAAATTATCAATAAAATAGCATATTTTTAATTTTTTTTTAATATTTAAAATTTCGTTTGAGATTTTATCATTTTCTAAATAAAACTCATACTAATATAAAACGCGTTTTAGAAAATATTTTTCTAATTCATTACAAAATACTTAGGATGGAATTACTGAGTTTAATTTTTAGAAAAAAAGAAGCGAATTACTCTCACCATCACCTCCCTTGCCACTCCGGTTTGAGACTATAAATTTATCATTTATGTTTATTATACGTTATACAGATGTCTATTACGGAATGGCTAGACTGTGGTGTCGTGTACAAACTGTACGAGTCCATGTTGAGACTAGTGAAGGATGCGGAAAACGTGGACCAGAGACAAAATTGTTTTTTACTACAGACATCCAACGGCGTGTCCCGGTACTTTTCAATGGAAACAAAACAGGGTTTACTGGACGTACAGTGTGCGTGGCATAGGTCGATATGCACGTCAATGATGCACATCAAAGTAAGTACTTTGAATTTGAATACCTATTTAGAGAAAATAATTATACTCGAGTATATTATGTGAACAATTTTTTAAAAAATACAAATAATTGTGAATGGCACTGCGACGATCGATGCTACAATTATCCGCTGCACTACATCAATGTATGTAAATAAGTACATGCAATGTCAATATGTCATCATACTAATTTTCTTTCTCAATTAATTTGATAGAACATTTTTGCAATAATGAGTTTCAAATATCAGATTTTCATACCTAAATAACCTACTACTAGGCATCGATCACTACATTTTATACAATACATATTTTTATATTAAATTTTTATAGAATATATTTAGCCATTCAAGTTAAATTATTGCTCAATGTATTGAAATGTTATTTTTTTGCGTTTTCACAGAGCAGAACGTTTTACGTGTTGTTTGGTAACAACCAACAGCCATCGAACTTGATATTGGACTGGGACAACGGATTCACATTATACGACAACTGGACAAATTCAAATGTTTGGACGTACAAGTTTTCTGAGCTTCGTGGCTCCTCGGACGATCATATTTCCCGGCTAAAACTTCACTTCAACGATAATGGCTGTATTGAAACAAAGGTTGTACGAAATAAAAAATTTTTTAATATATCTTCACAGTATGACTGTGAAGAAACTGTACCTAAATACAGAATACTAATGCTAGGATGATCGAAGTTTTATATAAGAACAAACCTTTAAAGTTCTATTATATACGGGTTAAATGCTCTATGAGATATAGTATATAAGACTTGCATAAAATTACCTTAAATTAAAAAAAAAAATATTAAAGTTTCTAAGCTTTTCGCACGTTTTTTTTTTTATATTACTTGTCAAAACTTACACACACTAATTAATGGGTATACAACTGAGTATAATAATGTATTCAGGGTTTAGTTTTAATATTATTACACTATTCTATATAGTGGTGACAAGGGTTAAATAGAGTCAGTCTATATATAGTAGGACACTGATCTTTAATATGTTAATATTGTGTACGTCACCAGAATTAGTAACTAATGTTTTTAAAACCATGTAGGTATTTGTCTTATGAATTATTGTTTAATACATTTCATGCAAACTGCATTGAAAATAAAAATAAAAAACTTTTTAATATAAATTTCATCAACATCTACGGCTGCTTGCAGGCGTCCACCCTCCTCGTGCGATTTTTGTCAGTATATACATATTACATATATTTTAATGTATTTATATCACTACATGCTAGGTGATCAGAATTCCGCGTGGCAATAAAAAATAAAGCAATAATTGGTCCTCTTCAGTAATAATAATAATAATAATAATAATAATAATAATAATACCGTATCCTGAGTAGCATTGAGAGATTTATACACAACACAATTTGTACGATGCGGATTTCCGATCGTCCTGCACAGCCCTGCAATATCTTGATGTCGCCAAATCCTGATCACCACACGTGAGAAATCGATTTTTTTCTTGATCTTGTATTTTTTTGTCTCCGACTAGGAATTGGTCTGTCAAGAACTGCAGAGCTTGCTGTTCTGCGTGCATGCGTTCCTGACCGCCAAAGTGGTGTCCGTAGATCCTTCGTACTTGAACACCGAAGGGATTCAACAGCTGTAAGACGCGTTGCTGGCAACTGCACTTTACCTATAATGTTGTGTGTAGCATCATAGTATTGTATAATTTATAATACTGAATGTATAAATCAATATGTTGCCGATTTGCGCACGATCTGTAAACAATATATTATAGACTCAGCTATAGACCGCGATTGTGCATATTATTAGTATAATATTTTACTATTATTATGGTTGTTTATAAATATTCAATAATATTATAATAATGTACCTATTTTAGGAAACGTCGTATAATTTTTTTACGTGTTAGCGTTTCAGGCCGTCACCGCGTGCTATAATAATTACCGTATAAACGATTTGTATTATATAAAATACCACCTCCCTTCAATAGACTTAATATTCTGTATTACTTGACTTTTATTATGGCAATATTGTCCATTGTATAGGGATACCTATCACTGCTACAGTACTACGATAAAGTTCTGCATTTATCTATACATAGAGTTTGCGCTTACGTCGCGAAATCGGGGCGAGGTTGGAGAGATTGTTATTATTTTTGATATCCTGAAATTTGAATGTTCCGCCTTGTGGTGTACTGCCTAAGGGTTTCGACATGTCTTGAGTTAAAATTCTAAGGAGAAAACTACAGCTCTCACCAAACAACATTAACTTAAAATAATCCATAGAAGTTCATCCCTTACAGATGATTACACATTTTATATCTTGGGAAAATCGAAGAATGTATTGTGTTTATAACAATGTGGCTTTTTTTTATACACAATACACATATATAATATATGCGACAAAGTCCTAAACCAAGTAAGCCAATCATAGAAATGATCTACCCAAAACTTTATATACACTCACCAGTTTTTGACACTAATTATTAATACGAAAATAATTTACTTTGAATATATCCAAATGTAATAAAAACAAAAAAAACTATTTTGTTATCAAGCTCCCCCCCAAACGCCCCACCTCTAGTTGCGACACCGCGACTAAGCCTTATTATCGTTGAGAGTATTTCATACAATACTTAATTAATATTAATAACACATTGATCTTGTAGAGGCTGCAATAAACAATTAACACAGGGTAGATTATACGAAGATATTTCAATTGGGGTGAATATAATAATTCTGTACATCTTTCGTAGAATAATGATAATTTATTATATTATTAGATACTTATTTCCACAATAGTGCGCAAAAATGTTAGAAAAATAAATTTTTAATGACATGATATGTATCTCTATATAACTATAATATACTATGTATATTTTTATTAAACAATAATTCGAGTTGTGGTTGTTAATTAGTTTGTTGTGACTAATGTGTAATTGTTTTTATAATTCATTATATTTTAAATAATTCAACGTCTCATTTAGATGTCGTACATTATAAAATCGTGAATATATTAGGTATATTGTGTTATGATAAAATATACATTATGCATTTGTCATCTATACATTATACATAATAATATTATATAGGTTGTATAATAGTTAAGAAATGTTCATATTGTAAAAACTGTGTCAGACATTTCCAAGCTCTTGAAATATACTGTTCCTACCTATATAAATATAAAAAAATATTTAAGCTTAAAAAATAAACGCACCTATATAGTAATAATATGTACCTTTTGCAATGAATTTGTATAGAACTTAATAAATTATGGTATTTTTAAGCGCAGACGCGCTATTACTGGCAAATTATAACAATATACCAAATATTATTATTATTATTATTATTATTATATTATATTATATTAAGTAGTTTATGACTAACTATCATTGTATTAGTTAGATCATTTTAAATAAAGATTATTTTTTGTGTTATATAATATCTAGACAGTAGACACTTAATTACAATATTTTCTTGTTTAAAAATTATTAATCTCTTTGGTGAATATATAATATAGAGGTTGTGAACTGTGAAGTTTCTTAGTGCCTATATCTATCTATTTTTCAACTAGTACATTTTTATTATGTTCATTACTCAAATATGTCACGTTGTACCGTATACTATTTGTATTAAAATCAGTTTTAAAATAAGTATGCAAAATACAAACCACCAATTCGTTGATATAATAATAATAATTAAATGGTTTACTTTGTCTTTATTGAATTAATGTGTTATAATTATTTTATGTGTCTAATAAATATTACATTTATTATTACATTTATACAGAATAAAGATTTTGGACTAATAAGCTCTTCTACTGCAAATATAAATTATAATTAATAGATATTTTATAAAGTTCTATTTTTATTTTGTAAAGGTATACCTAATATAAAAGTATGCTTTACTGGGGTTTATTTTGCTATTTTTTTTTTCATAAAAGAAAACGACACTGCGTCACTGTATCTATCGTATTTTGAAAAAAAAGTCGATCACTATGTACCTAAATAATAGTGTACCGCCACATCCGGAGTAGAATACAGAAAAGTTTTAGTCATTCAATATGCAAAATACCGCTGGTGTAAAATGTCGTTTTCAATATTTCAAATTATAAATCAACTGGCTACATCCGTTCATTAGTGTAACGAAGATTTTGCCATAAATCGACGACTGTATAATGACTATAATGTACTATTTACAAAAACGTGTTGATATAACTCATAAGGATATTACGGATAACAATATATTATAATATCATGCCGCTAGCATAATTCAGGTACTTACCTTGGAAATTATATTTTATAACATTAGAAATTCAGTCCATGTCAATTGCCAGTGTTTAAAATGTAAAATAAACTACTAATAATAATTGTTCTTATGAATTATAAAAAATTTGCAAAAATGTACAATTGTAATTTAATTAGACCTTTGAGTAGGTACCATTATTTTAGCGACAGTGAATCCCTGCAAATCCTCTCTAAATCATATAGTACTGCAAGCGCTGGAGGTTAAGTGCCCCGCGTGCAGGTGGTAAGCACCTATATATTGTATAGGTGCTGTCTACTAGCCGCTTCTGAATACAAATTTATAATTATGGGCATGGACGCCCATTTGGGGAGAGGGGCATAACAGGGGCACTCCCCCCCTGAAAAAATTCTATGAACTTGTAATTCAATAAATATTATCGTGATATTGTCTGTTTACGAAGACAAATTGTTTTTTAAAATCACTATTTAAGATATAAAATAAATAAAAAATACACCATGTTATATAATACACAATTGCTATCGTATATTATTAACAACAGGAAGATAAGTAGGTACGTGAGATAAATATTATAAGAATATATCACTCATGTTTCGTATTATTATCGCAGATAATTTATAGTAAACCCATAAACATCACGTATTTCAAGTATTTCATAGGACAACATTTAATGTTTCGACTTCAAATGAACGTATGAGTGTAAGTACCTTTAACTACGATTTACGGATGGCAGCTGATTACAAAACAAAATACACCAAGCATTTTTGTGACTTGGTGCACAGAATGACTGCAGTCTTTCACTGTCTGTGCGATATCTGGTATGAAGTGAGTAATGCCAAGCATTATTCCTCAATTATTATTCTTTTAAATTAAACATTTTTAACCATGAATATTCGTGCATTTTTTAATAGAAAAAAAGTGATGAAAATTGTGCATTTATAATGTTGTGTTTGAACCACATGTATCAAAAAATTCAAGTGTTCTGCACAAGTCAATTCAAATTTCGAACCCGTCATTTTCTACGCCAATAAAATACGGTACCTATACATTAATAAGTTATTACCTAATTATTATATACTAAAAGATTGCGAGTCATATTCATATCTCCAGATTTTTTTTATTTTGCCTCTCTCCCGGCCTCCTTAAAATTTTACCTGTGGCGCCCATGTTTTGCGGGTGTTAATCATAGCAAGAACTGCAGTTATGTCCTTCGTCAATGATGAGGTATCTCTGGAGACGGTTATCATGTAAAGTTGAGATTACTGCAAAGGCGCATATTTAAATTGAGATGTTCCCTTTCGCTAACAGACATTTATGTCCAAAATGATCCGAGCTTCTTAAGCTTTTTTATTATTACGGGACGCGCAGTGTTAACACAAAGGTACGTACCTACATTAATAATATTATATCGTTATGACTTATGATCAGAGTTCGGGACTTATAGAATTTAAAACCATTAAAATAAATGCGCTTAAAAACATCATTATAAGCACTCAATTACTCAAATAAGTATTTAAAAAACTTAAATTTGAGCAAAAATATTTAATTAAAAAAAAAAAACTTTATTTTTACACGACAAAGACATAAATAGTAGATACTAGATATAATTGTAACTGTGCTAAAAATAATATAATTAAAGATTAAACAAAATATCAAACAAAATGATTTGGAAAAGTTTCTAACTAAAAATAAATACATTTTTGTATTATAAAAAAATCAAATTTCACTTTCGAGACATTTTGGCTTATTGTTTATTCTATCATAAATTACATTGCAGGAAAAAACCATAAAAAGTAGAAAAATTGGTCAAAAAAGCATCTTTTATAAAATCTTCGTACAAGGCAAAAAAAAGCACTTTCGAATTTCACATTTGAACGTGGTTGTAACATGACACACACTTTCATACCACTCTGTTACATTTTAAGTCAATCCATAAAAATAAGCAAACGCTCTAAGTCCCGAGCCCTGGTTATAAACGCAAACAACGGGGTCAGAATGTCTGCTGGTGCGAATGTCTGTTATCTACTATTTAAAATTTTCAAATAAATTATATCAGTCTCAATGAAGTATTCGATGGTAATTGGAAATGATAATTATTTATTGTCACGCTATCGGTTCGTGTTTGGCCTTTATATTTAACCCCTATTTTTAGGTCATCGATTTCTGGGCGCTAGGTACCTACTTCAACTGCGTGATTGTCCGTCCACTAGCTATATTATGCCCATATTAATTTTATACACAAAAATCGATTTCTCTAAAGATACTTACAAATTACAATAGAGTCAAGTATTCGAATGTAATATATAGGTTATTGTATGATTTTATTAAATACACATTACAGTAAATTGAATAATTGTATATTGTATAATATTATTGTGTTAACAGCTACAGCTCAACGTGTTACAGTGTAATATAACAATTATTATTATTCATAATACATAAAGCTGGATGACCGATACGGCAAATTTAAAAATGTATAACGTTATAGAAATTAACGCACAATTTGTTGAAAAAAAAACGTAAATACTATATAATAATATAAGGAAATTATGATACCTATGTTTAGGTAATAGATATTAAAAATAGAATCAACACTCAATTCAGTATTACAATAATATTAATTAGAATTACAACGACCATGTTTATAAATACATCTATAGTAAAAAAAACCACAGTAACGTGTTCACATTATGCAATCTTAATGCTAATTAAGAATTAAAAATAAAATAAATTCAAAATTCAATTCATCACAGTAAAACATATTATTAAATCTCAGAACCTTGGTGGCAGGTACGTCTTTACATAAATGTAAACATTAAATATGCGTGTACGTAGGGAAATACTATTATTTCAAGTATGTCATGAAGTAATTAACGTCTGCGTGTAGATTTAATGAGTTGTAACGCCTTTTGCATCAAAGGAGCTTTTTTCTTTTTCACTAAAATAACAGAAAAAAAAAATACATACAATTTAATACTATCTATAGAACATAAATCACAAACATATAGATTTATTGAAATATCATTATAGTTTAGAGGAAACCACATACATTTTTTATCTTAGTCAATGGTTCAAATAACATGTTACATTTATTTAAGAAAAATTATGTTTTCAAAAGTAAACAATTAAAATTATTTTACTAAAAACAACATTAGGAAGATATCAATATCTATTGTTGATGAAATATTTGTTAGCTTTTTTAGATTCAAAAATAACATAGATAAAATGCATTAATGTAAAATAGTTTTTTTTTTATAATTTTTGATTGATCTTGGAGTAAAATAACCTATTATAGAAATTATAGAGTATAATAGTTTGAGAATTCGACATGTTGGTTTTATATTTTACTATAACTTAAATTTAAAAGAAAAAAAAACAATGTTTATACATTGAAATGGATATTATATAATTTTTAGACAACATGTCATACTTTTAAAAATAATATTGTCTTCAATTTTTTGTAATGATTTTCCTTTAAGATAAAAAAAATAAAAATATCTTGAGTGAATATAAAATACATAAAATATTTATATTGCATGTGGACTAGAGAAAAAAATAAAGAGTGTGCTAACATTTCTTTAAAACATAATTATTATTTAAATATATTAGTTGAGCTAACTTTTAATTACTGTTAAAAATCAGAACAATAAAATTATGGTTGTTTAATACTAATTTATTGTTTTCAGAATTGAAATTAGATTTCACAGAAATGACATGTTATTGTGCTAACCTAATCAGAATGCAAAGAGAAATATTTATTTAGAAATCAAAAGATTCAAAATTAAAAATGCAATTGATTTCTTATAGATTTTAATTCAATAACAAGAATAACACAATCTTTCTAAATATCACATTGAGACAATTCATACTCAAACTATTTAATATAGATGAAAAGTAAATGCAAGTTTTAAAAATAACCATCTTTATCATATTTTTAAACATAAACAGAAAAAGAAAAAATAATTAACAACTTGAAATATATAAAATATAGGTAAAATAGTAAAATAGTTTCTATTCATACTCGCACTGGATGGTGTATGGGCAGAAGTCAAAGCAATTGGTACGCCAGTAGCCATGGTAGTAGATTTTTTGTTGGAGGACAGTGCTTCTGCAGTAGAATTTTCTCCCATCATTGATTTGTTTAAGATATTACGTCTATTATCCGCAGTAGCCGTTTGGAATTTAGCCTGTAACCAATAATAAAAATGCACAAGACAGTTAGAAATGTAAATTATATAAAAACAAGTTATAAAATTAATAATTTGCCTGTTTTTTAGCAATGCCACGTGGTGGTTTAACTGTTGAATCTACATATGCTAGTTGTGTTTTTCTAACAGGTGTGGATGCAGCTTGATTTGCATTTATATTCCGCCGTAGTTTGGCCAATTTTGTTTCACGTTCTTCTAGACATCGCTAAACATCAAAGTACTATATTATTATATTCATCATGTTAAGAATTGAACGTTAATTAAAGTAGTCATTTCAAATTTACTTAGTAAAAATATTTTTATGTTTAAGCTTTCTATTATAAATTAATTAAATAAAAAATGTATTGCAATATAATTCTATACAAATAGGAAAACAATCTTTTACTGTGTAAAAATGTTTTTGACAAATAGTTAATTTATAATTATTAATTACTATATAAAAATTTCTCCATGGTTCATTTTTTTCTGGAACTTTATTACGAAATTCCTTTTTGCAATGGTACTCCCATAACACTCCAGTATCTTCAATCAAATAGTCATTGAACTGTTCTAAGTTATATAATTGATCAGGAGTAGCGTGTTTCAATATTGGTTCAAGTATACTAAACGGAACTCCACCAGTATATTCCAAAGCTAAGCAAAATAGAAGATGTATAATAATAAATATATGTCTATTATTTTTAGGCATGATAAAATATGATTTTTTTATACAATAAATGTAGTTACCTTCTAAATGATCCTTAATAGTTTGGATACAGATATCAATTAATCTAGGAACTTCAGTATATATTGTACTCTTATTTCCAGAGTAAACTTTTGTCCTGTAAAATATTATATCTTAGAAATAAAAATAAATATAAGCAAGGTGTTTTATATACTTAAATACCTCATATTTTTTGTTGTCATAATTTTAGCCAACGGATCAAGATCGTCTATTTTTTTTTTCTTTACGTCTAATTGAGATAGTGGTTTATAGTTAGCAATTAATTCTTCAGGATCTAAATTAAATGGTGCCAACGGACTCTAGAATTAGGTATATAAAAATGGTTAACATAGTAGTTTTTAAACATAAAAAATTTGTTTAAAATTAAACTGACTGATTGTATAGAACTAAATTCTCGCTCTGAAGACCTTGATCTATCTCTATACTTGGACTTAATTTGTTTCTTTTTAACTATTTCTATACCTAGTAAAGCTTCTTCAAATGTTTTACCTGAAAAACATTTTTTAATAAAGAATTAATTATTCTTTTGTATATAAATATATAAAATGTTTAACTTACTATTACTACTATGATTAGCACTAGTTGAAGGCTTAGATTCTTCCTTGGTTTTATCCTTAGTACTTTTTTTCGAATCACTTTTATCTTTGTGACCCGACTTTGATTCATTTTTGTCCTTGTGAGAGTGAGATTTAGATTCAGATTTATGAGATGATTTATGCTTATCTTTTTTTTTCTCTGAATGTGAACTTTTTTTTTCTTTTTTAATACTTTCAGCATAACCATTAGTATTTTCTCTATGAGAAGTTGTTGCAACATTTTGTGCAATCTCACATCTTTCTGGTTCTTCTTTAACTTTGACACTTTCATACTTATAATCTTTTTTTACTTTCTTTGAGACATGCCCATCTTCCTGATCATCTGTTGAGTTAGAATAAGATTCCTTTCGTTTTTTACTATCTTTATCTTTTTTACTTTTTTTATGTTTTGATTTTTCATGATGTCGACGGTAAGATGATTCATGGTCACTTGAATCATCTTTCATTGAATTGATTACTTCTGATTCATTAATAAATTCTTCATTATCTTTTGGTGAAGATACATCATGATGTTCTTCATCGGAGTTTTCCTCTCTATTATAGAAATTTTCAGTTTCTTCAATTTTTACTACATTTTTCCATTGAATAACTAAAGATTTTGCTGATTCTCCAATGTTGCCATCATATTTTCTTAGATTGTTGACTACTCTGCCAATTCCAGTATTTTGTAAATTTTGAACAGTGATAGGAAGTCGAGAAAGTTTAGTTATACATTTCATTATCTGAAAATACAAACAATATTATTTATTAGGTACTTATTAGTTATATATATTATTTTATAATGTAACAAGAGATGCATTTTATAATTTATAGTTATTTTTTTATCAAATCTGCAAGGATTAAACCTTAATCATTAATTATAAAAAGTAAATACTGATATACTAGTATTTATGACCAACTATAATATGCATAGATTAAATAGTAGTTATTACTCAACTATATTATATATGTGTATTCTATATAAAGAAATAGATACAGCATTTAGAAAAAAAAAGAATGCTTGTTAATCAACATATTTTATGAATAACTTATAAACATCATTCAATTATTTCAAATAAAATGTGAACAAAATTCATATTTTTAAAAACTTGGAAGATTTTTATTACGTTTTTTTTTTTTAAATATTTAATTATTTTATTATAATGGTATTATCTAATATCATACAATGGAAACTAAAGATTTTTTTTTTATATTGTTAATATAAGTTTACAAATATCTTTTATGGGCAACAGATTAATGAAAATATTAATAATAATTACTAATTCTAATAAATATTAAGGTATAAATATACTATAATATGCATGTAAATTAAATTAATTAAATTATGAAGTTAAAAATTATAATTAATTAAATATTTGATATTTATTTTATACATGTTAAGAATAATGTAGAATTTATATAAATAATTACATTAGTTCATTATGTTTTTTTATATTTGATAATAATTATCATAAGAAGAACTTGAATTTTTGGCATATGTGATTTATTTTTAGGAAATAAAATGTATTACAATTTTATCCAATTATTTTTTTTAATAAATTTTAATACAATTAAAAGATATTTTAAAACATTAATACAACCAATTTTTATGACTCTTCAATGCATTAAGTCTGAACCCAAGTAATATAGATCAATAAATTCAAATAGAAAGGGAAACGTTTTGATTATAATTTAAATTTTAAGCTATAACCTACCTATCAGAATTTGGAACATAAGTAAGCTACAATATATAGTATTATAGTAACTTAATATCTATGTTTTAAAATATTAAAATATAATTTGTACATATACTTATTTGTATTTTTTTATTGAAACCTATAATAATATCTTAATACAATTGTTTTAATCGTCAAAATAAAATATTCATAGAAGTTTAAAAAATAAAAATAATATTATAATAATTAAAATTAAATTTTCTTTTTTACAATAGTTCTTTAAAATTAAATTCAAGTATTTTGTTAGTGTAAGTACTTAATAATTGTACATAATTTTCTCTCATTTTCTTATCTTCAAAATACCAGACTAAAGTGTACAGATTGTTATAAAAATTATATTTTTATAGCAAAAACATTAAAAGTAGGATACAAATAATACGTATGTATTTAAAAATTCTGAAAACAGTAACCTTGATCTACTGACCTAATGATGCTCTTTAATATATTAGACCACAAAACATACAGGAACTTTCACTAAACATATAGTTATTAATAAATGAGTAAGTCTATAATTGCAAGAAATTAGTAAAAACTGACTCATAAAAAAACCACAAAACTATAAACTTAAAGATACAATAAAACAACATTAGTAATAAATTTGATGGTTACATAAACATCAAATTCAATTTTATGGTTTGTGATGATTTCATAATATACTATTTGTATAATCATATATTATTCCAATAGTAGTAGATGATATTAAGATTATTATTGTCATAAAATTATTGGGGTAGTTATGAATAATATAGATTTTTAAGAAAAATACATTTGAATTTTTTTTAAATTTTGTTGTGGTTTATACTTAAAATTTTTTATTCAAGATTCTAAATTGCATAAAATTCTATTTTATTCATATTGTTTTTATGAATTGCATTAATTGAAATGATTCACTTGTAGTAAAAACTGACAATTTATAAAAAATCATAGGATACTCATAGCTGATATGTTAAAATTTTTCATATTATTACAATTTTATTTTCATTACTCATGAAGTATTTAGAAAAAAATTTTTATTTATTTTTATTATTATTCCAGTTATATTATTTTAAACTAAATAGTAAATAGAATCATAAAAATTTGACAAACAAAATTTATAAAACTGAAATTTAACTTAAATTTGTATCTTTGACATAATTATACTTGTATTTTTACATTTACTTTTTTTATTATTTCATCTTTAAAAACTGAATCTAATAGCAAAAAAAAAAAAAATGTTTATTTGCACTTGTCAAGGTTTAAACATGTTTAATTGTTTCAAGAACATAATAAAACACTAGTAATACTTGCAATATTAATTCAAATTTGGAAAAAAATTAATAGGTATGTATTAGAATTATTATAATAAGTTCATAATAATCTATTTCAGAAATATTTTTTAAGGATAAGTTAAAACTTTTTATCATGATTTTTTAAATACCTATTTTGTTATTATTACTACTCTCTTCTATCTGTACCACAATTTAACACATTCATTATGTTTGTAGTTTTTTTTTTAATTATATAATATTTAGTCTCCCCTAATAATTATTTAATACAAATTAAATTTCTTTTATCGGCTAACCTATTATATAATTATCTAATTAAAATTAATGTTTTTAATCTATAAATCGATTACCTATGAATTGGTTTTGGTATCAATACATTGGATCTATTTCATAAAATTAAGGAATTTTTATTAAAACTAATTTTAAATTTTTAACAATTTAGGTTTATTACATTTCCTCAGAACTACTACCTACATACTTTTAGACTGTTTCAGAGCTATAACTCTATTTCTTTATTTTATTTCAAAAATTTAACGAGGAATAAAAAGAGTACGTCATAATTAGTTTTTAGTCTTTACTTACACCAGTAATATTAATAACTTATAAATATGTTTGTTGGGAATAATATACAATATACAGGTCTAAAAATAATATAATATCCAATAATTATACATATTTAACTATACAAGTATGTAGGACCTACATTATAGATTAGTAGGTTAGTGCTGAAAAAATTGTATTAGATCTAATAATTTAATGATATATAAGTTTACAGTAAATGTACTTAGGTGCTCTGTCATAATTAAATAACCAATTTTGTGTCTACAACAAAATAATAAAACCTCATTGAAAGACAACAAAATATTCATGGATAAACATGTGATTACAATAGAAATGTATATGCGACGAGCTCAATATTTTTAAGGATAATATTTCAATATTATAGCTAAGGAAATATGTAAGAATGTTGGGAATAATATTCTTATAGAAGGTGATAGTTTAAACAGCTTGAAGTTTACATAAAGAATCGGGTTACATATGGAAATAGAGAAACAAATTTTGAAGACGTGGGATTAGTGATCACCAATTTGGGGAGAATTCTACTGGATGAATATTGATTGATTACTCTAGCTCGGGGTCTATTTTTTTTTTTTTTTGTGAAAACAGATACGTCAACAAATACGGGAAATCAGACGGCCATTGAAGGGAGCACACCAGCAAGGGCTTCTTATAGTCTCTTACATGTACGCACCTTGTCATTGTCGTTGGATTCGGTAGCCCTGCTGATGTGTCTCTTGTAATGTTCGATCACGCCGTTCAGCTTGTGCATTTTGGAGTCGTCCATTTTCACGCCGACTCGCCGGAAGACGTGTCGTGCATACGTTTGCACTTTGAAGTGCAAGAGTCGCTTCAGTCACGACGATGGCACGCTCAACGGCTCAGTGAGGAGGGGTATAGACAGCCAGCAAACGGAGTCTGATGCGTCCTACGTGTCGCTAACTACTTCAGTATTCAGTCAAAGTGTCGCGTTACCGTGGAGCTGTGGAGTCCGCGGTGAACATCAATAATTGTGAAACGAACGATTTTGTGTTCGATGCGGTTTATCACCAAAACGTAAGCAAAGATCAGCTGATGGCGAGGTACACATGACGTTCTATCATTGTAACAGTTTTAATCTTCGTAGCCGTAATGATAATGCGTTGTTGTTACCGTGATACTGATTCTCAAACTCAACTGTAAGCAATTTTAACGTTTTACTACAGAATGAAGGTGCTAACGATGTGGGGAAATCGCGCACACAGATTTCATAATAATAGCTGTAAAAAAGGCTAAAAGTACATTCAAACGTCTTAAGGTGTTATAAATTATAGCAATAATAGTTACACCGTTGGTATCATGATTTTGAATAGATTTAATCTTAAATTCTTCTTCATTAAACACGTCGACGCTCTATCGTGGGCACATGACGTTGTAATGACCCACAAACATACTGTTCAACAAAAGAAGACAGTATTTAAAAATATAGATTGAGATGCCTTGTTCGTGCCCGTGGCCTACAACGATTTGAGGTTTGAGCATGTATTAAAATTTAAAATTTAAAACGGTACATTTTAATTTTTTGGATTTGAAATCAATCATGCCGTTTTTTGCATTGGTGTGTGATAGCCACGAAACTCGTTGCCACGTTCATAACGATTACGGTGGTTACGGTGGTATAAGGTATAGGACAATGGTATTCGGTCGCCACTATCAGCTGCGATGAAATATTTTTCTTGTCAATTTTGTTTCCCCCACCACTTCTATAACCACCGCATCTTTGATACCTGCTAAACACTTTTTTTATACATTAATATATAATAATATTATATATCAATATCAGTTGACTCTCGACAGTCACTACACAGTACACGGTCAGTCGATCGTCAACCCGCAATTGTCTGGTGTCTTTTTTTTTTTTCTTTCATGTCCGTTTTATTCGTATATATTAGATATTAATATTATAATAATAATATATTGTGTGTACATACAACGGACGGACGTGTTCTGGAACCCAACGTTTTTACTACTGCAATTTTTTCATTTCGTCGAAAAAGTAACTCGACACATAACGTTAGTTTTCGTCAAATTCTACCCAAATTTATCTTCGACGATTCACCGTTGCTCGTCCCAGTTCGGTCGGTAAGTACCTTCCTACCCGCTCGATACGCATTTTCTTATTTTCCATTATCACAGTGCTATATAATAATATAATAATGATTATAAATTAATTTTGACTTTATATCATTAAAGTGTGCAATCGGACAAGTACCTATTGGCTGTTGGTCGCCTATTAGATATAGATAAATGGTGGCATTGGAATGTATTAATATCATTAATTTCCTGCATGTACATAAATGAAAAAATATTATCGTTTGAAAACACACTTGTGTTTACATACATTAGCTGTCTAACTACCTAGTGTTATTTTTTTATAATTTTTTTTTTTTTTTTTGTACAACATAGTAGGATTGCTTTGGTCAACACATAAATTAATTCAATATTATTCTATTGACTATTAACATAATTTATTATGTAGGTACCTACCTATTGTGGTCTTAATTTAATTTTAAATACTAGGTTTATCTAATGTATCTTCCTAATATATAAATTGTAATTATGACCTATCAAAAATATATGCTCGTAACTAAGTATTTTTAAAAACATCCAAATAAATGATAAAATCTATATTTAATAATATGTATTTACCTAATCTATAAGATGCTAAGTATTGAAATTTAAGTTTAAATTTTGAAAAATTTAGTGTTAAATAAAAGTTTTAGTACCTTACTATTGAGCTTACTACCTATATTGAATTTATAGAAAAAACTGACTGATTTTCTTAATTATAAATATATGCAATACCTACTTATGATTTTTGCATCAATTTTTCAATTTTACAGTAAAAAAATTTTGTATTAGTTAATTTTGCAAATTATATATCATCGGTTTAATATATTATTTGGTATGTATTCATATATTCTATTTCTATACAATCACTTCTTTACATTTACCATGTCCTTGAGAGTTATTGCTCCAGGCAATTTATAACACTCCTACTTATAGATTCTTTTTATTCATAAAATTAATTGGTATGGAGAGAAGCTGTTATATTACCTACTTCAATGCTAGGTAATATTATTTTAATTAATAGGTTATTATTCTAGTACACTTCTAGTATATACCTTGGTATCCTCTTTTTTTGGAAGTATAATAGTTAAAAAAAAAAATAGGTTCACTGTCAATTATTTTCAAATAATGATACAAATTATAAATTTGTTTCAAAATTTAGATGATTGGTATTTTAATTGAATAGGTATTATAAATATAATATCATAAATTATAAGTAGGTATAATAGTTTTATAATATTATAAGATAGTACAAAGAAGATTTATTTTTAAACCATTTTATTATAACTGCTTGATTGGTACAAATACATTAATTGATGCTATGAAGTCAAAAATATTACTCTTAAAAATAATTAAATTGTATAATACAGATGTATGGCATGAATATGTATTATTACTTAAACCTTTTTTACCACATTGTTTTTAATACAGGTAGGTAATGAACTACCTAATTGTTTTTATTTATTCTTACCTAATTAAGCTTATTTACTTATTGAAAATATTTCTAATAGGTATTATTAATATATTAATATTGGGTTATGGAATAGGTAAATAGCTTCAAACAAAGCTTTTAAAAATTGCAAAAATGTAGTGTATCCTACATATTGTATTCAAAATTGTTATTTGTCATTTTTCTATGATAAAGTTGGTGTTTTTTTTAAGTAATAGGTGTACACCATATAAGAGGTACAATGTACAAGTTTGAATGCCCTTGGTTTGACACCACAGGATTACATTGAATGATGAAGCAATCCCTAATGAAATTTATTTTATAAAATTACCTGTATTAAATGTTGTTAAATTAAATAAGAAATCTTTTTTATTTTAGTAGATATCAAATCTATTTTTAAAAGACTTAACTATTGCTTTCTGATTTATGTGAACCTATTTACATGACAATTATTTGTTAATTATGATGTATTCATTATATTTCATGATATTATAATATGTTTGTATATTTAAACGTGTACATTATTTTTTTACAAATAAAGTTGGTTTTAAAAATATAACACACAATCAAAAATGTTTTATTATTTAAATTAATAGTTATTGAAAATTAAATTGAATTAAAAATACTGACTTACTATTCTATTTTTCTATGAATTATTTAAATTCAAAATAGGTATTAAATAACAATATAATTAAATACTGGGTACTGTACTATTTCTTGATTAAATGTATTACCTGTATGTTATAGTTCTAAAGATTATGTAGAAGTGTAGAACAATAAACAATGAGTATAATATAAATTATTTAAATATATCTTTAAAGTTTATTGCTTAAATTTTACTAGATAATTTAGGAGTAATCATCTATAACAACTAACAGGTAAGAATCATATTGAAAATAAATATCTATTTTAAAAAGTTATTTACTTTTAAGGTTTTTGAAGTATTGTATAGACAACATAATAGTTAGTTAATATGTACTTAATAAATATGTATACTAGGTTAAGGTATCACACCACTTAATTATTTTAATTGTGTGTGACATTACTTTTATAGAGATTGGTATTATCTTTTATATAATTACTGAATTATTATATGTATTCAATATTTTCTCTTGTATAATTTATCATATTAATTGATAACTTTTGAACATCATTCACTTCTATTAATAACTCTATATTAGTTTTTACCACTTCAGATGAAGCATAGTCACACAAAAGACTTATTTTTCCTCGAGTTTATACTTTTAAATTGTATAAGTACACATTTACACTGTTCTACTATGTAATAGGTACTATTTGTTTTGATACATCATACATGATTATTGGTTACATGAGATTTTAGAACAATTAAATTTTATAGATTCAATTAAACTTTTATATGTGTATATACATATATTTAACTGAGTTTATTTGTAAAGCAAATATTTTAAAAGGTATTAATTGATATTGATGTGGTATCTAAAAAAACTTCTTTTCTGGTTTAATTTTTATGAATAAAATAATTAATTTAATTTACTGAAATTACTGTCAAGAAATTATAAAACAATAAAATTTACCAAACAAAAAAAAAAAAATAAAATAAAATATTTATTAATACATAATACAATAAATATATATTATAGTTAATACAGTAATATTAAGATATCTTTACATAATTTATATAAAATAAAATAACTATTTGTACACCAATTCATTATTATGTGAAATTGTACAAATATTATTTAAAAGAAAAAAAATTTCAGATAATTACTGGTCTGCTAAGTTAAAATAGTCACTATAATATTCATTACAATACGTTTTATTATATTATAATAATTCTAGCTACAAATGTCTATTGTCACTAATTTTATTAATTAAAAATATGTATATTGTATATAAAAATTTTTTGTGAACAGTATATTATTGCAATTAAAAGATTAGTATTAATCATAGATACCTATACCTATATTATTTCGATGGGAAAAGAAAGACGAGTATAAAATATGCAGGTAGGTCAAAAAGGGGAAAGTGCTACTGTAGTGTATTTTGCAAAAATTGAATTATAAAAATTCAAAGTTTTGTAAATAACACCTGTTTCAGGCAGTTAAATATTTTTATCTATTACATTTTTTGGCCATTCGAATATGCTCAGGGTGGTTACAGGTTTAATTTAGTTAAAAAACAACCAAATACTTATAGTTGTGTCTCAGGTAATGACTATAGTGTTAAGACACAGTTTAAAAATAAGACTTCTACTAGCTTAATCTTTGCCATAATCTAAATTAAGACTGTTTTGAAATTTTCTCATCTCATAATAAAAATAGAAATTTACATCATTACATTCTGCAGCTTATTGGGATAACATACTTTAGCGTGATGTCAAAAGTCACTTTCCGACGAAATATTTGTTTATTTTAGTTATATTTTAAAGGTAGCTAATTTGAAAGTAGAAAACACTATTAATACATAACTCAATAACTGTATAAAATATACTATAGGTATTATTTTTTATCTACAGTTGTTAGTTGACTCAATGTATATAATTCACTATCCTGTTCTGAGTTATTAATGGCTCAACATGAATCGTTCATTATATAATGTGGGAAATAGTTAGAACGGCGGGTGTTAGCAAATTAAAGAAATTTATAATGTTAATGCCTGCATAAAATAATTGTATTATCTATTAAGTAAATTTATAATTTTCTTAGCTATAAATTCTAAATTGTTATTCAAGAAGAGCTGCTGGTTTCTTGTCATATTATATATTATAAATTAGATAAGATAATAAGTGCTGGAATTTTAAATTTTTAAAACGATTACCTATATAAATTATAATAAACATTAAATAATATAGACTTGCAACCATTATTAAAACATATTCACAGTGAAGAATTTATAAAATAATCTTCAAAATATCTTTCCACAATTGAAGTTTAATTTTACGTAAATCGGATAGTTTTTATTTTATCTGTTCATAAGTTGTACATATTAAATACAATTTGAAAAGTATAATAATTTCAGTATGCGATGAAAGTAATGTTGATGGTTGATGACATAGAAAATAAATCGCTCATTAACAACACTTTCAACGAAGAGATGTATGTACGTATATATTGTATTAATGATGATGACTTAAAATGGCAATGATGTGAGTGGATTCTTGGACATGATACATATAGCACCTACAGCTAGTGTTTTAATTAGAGGGTGAAATTATGGTATGAAAATATACGTAACTTGTTATTTCTTCTATGTACGTATGTGATTTTCAGAGCTTTCAGAATTTGACTTCTGCTATAGCAAACAGTCTGTTATATGACCTAATTTTAGATTGATAAATAGGGATTTTTGATGGGTTTAATCAGTTTTAAGAAAAATTTTATAACTATTTAATTTAGTGTGAATATGGGGATTTTTAAAACTTATTAGACAAAAGATTTTTTAGTAAACGTTTCTATTGTTAAGGATAATTTTTTTTACGAAAGGATATGTGAAAAATTAAAGAATTAAATCAGAATTGTACCTATACGTTATATATTTATATGATATGTATTGTTTTTGCAGTGTATTTACGCCAAACAATTTCATCAGTTATAAAAACAGCAAGTTTTACCTGTTTAAACACTGTTAGATTATAAAAACCAGCTGTAGCCTGTAGGTCCTACATATAACTTATGAGTGACGTCGGTATATTATTATCACAAAATATAACAATTTATTATTGTTATTTGTTAATATTACTGTTTAAAAAATATTTTTATATTTGTTTCTTAAATGTAGTCGTGCAAGTATTTTTGTTAAAACCAATTAACAATAAAATATGAAGTGTAAATTTCTATAATATTTGATCGAGAAACAAAGATATTGTATTTCATTAAACAAATACAATAATCTAATGTTTATAAATTATGACCATTTCCATTTCTACTGTAATTTAATAAAAAATAATAAAACGGTCCGACAATGTCTTGGCTAGTGTGATGATGGTAATAGATATTATGATACGAGTAGAATAGGACTATTCGTCTTTATAATTAGATAAAATTTGTTATAATTTTATATTAAATATAAAATTATAATAATAGTTTTTATTGTGATCAAATTATTTTTGTGTTAGGAATGCTTACATAGTTCAATGTTCCTAGTATTAATTGACGGTAATTCATGGGAATTATGTATTTGCTGACATCGCTACATTTAGATAAGGGACGACATCTCACAGTTATATTTCATTTATCATATTATTTTTAGATATTTGTTTGTGTCGTTACATTTTATAACGAACCTGCATATTGCAGTTCTTTGAATTGATCATTTTTATCATTCTTCATCAAGTTTTCTGGTAAATATATTAATATGATTTACGATTTAAATAATTATTTTATACGCCACATTACAATATTTTGATTTGTATATAATTTATTTATCCACTTGAAATGTTCTAGCTAACGAACGCTATAGTACTTTAAACATTTCTTATATATTTATTTTTATTAAAATATAATCGAATCATTGTGTGCAATATTATGTGAATGCGTCTAAATTTATGATGCTTATATAGACATAATATTATAGTACCTACCTAAATTAATAATTTGTACTGTTATTATTTAAAATTGTTAATTATTTCATTATGGTTCAATATTAAACGTCATGTCGTCACGTCCAGCAATGTAACTTTATAACAATATATTATGTAATTATTATAATATTGTATGAATATGGATTTCTGATCGTTGCTCATTATGTTGGAATAGTATTGTTTTAATTTATAAGTTGTAGTTTCAATATTAATGTTGACCGTTGATTATTTTATTTAACTTTGGTCATCGTAACGGTTATTTGCATTGTGTAGATTACCATTGTCTTCAAATATCCTCAATAATACTTGAAAATTAAACTTGAAATATTTAATATTATTATTATATTGTATCAGTTGATTCATCTGTACCTAGAGAAACATGTATTTGGTAGGTATTTATTTTTGTCAATATTTACACAGCGATTGATAACAATTATTGCTTACGAAGCAATATAAACATTTTATATTTATTATTATAGTATATAATAATATGATATTAAATAATTTTGCGGATGTTAAGTGTAAACATCGGCAGATTCTACAATAATGTAATTATATTTGTAAAATGTATATGATCGCGCACTTAGTGTTTAAACTCACGCCTAGTGTTTATACTTAATTCCTTTGATTAGTTTGGTTTTTGTATTAATCAATTTTATTATGTTAGAAATAACAGTCGTACAATTATTATCCTATTATAGTAATTATAGTAACTGGTGTTAATTGCAAAACATTCAAACTCATAAAGAAACGGTAGGTATTGCTTTAGTAATTTTTTTATAATTTCATGCTGTGTATAAATGATAGTATTGTTAATACAACAAAGACTAACTATACAAAAGTATGGAAAACGAATTCTTTCATATTTTTTTAGTAATCAATAAAAAAAAAAAAAAATAAAAAAAAATAAGGTTTGGCTAAAGAATTTTATTCGGGAAATAAAAATACGTGTTAGTCTTAACACATATGATGTTTCTAATAAAATTTATTTCATTATTATATTATATAGGATATTTATTAATATTAAAATTAATTTAAAACTTTATTTAACATTTTTATACATCAGCTTTTAGACGCCAGACTGCAATTTATGATTCGATAAGTGGTGATGAAATGACTCTTGGTAAAACCTATGTTATATATTGTATTTTCACAAAATAATATAATACCTCTTAAACTATTTATCGTCATAAGCCAATGAACGATTAAGCAATGTAACTAATTAGATATAAATTTTATCTAGTTGTAAAATAAGTAATTTCTAGAATGATTTTTTTGTGTTACACGTGAATACCATTAATGTCTATGGGAATTGGGTAGGAATATGTGAAATACAAAACTATTCAGTTTATTTTATAACTAAATAATAAACTGCATAATAATACTTATCGTTAACTTAAAATAGTATTATATTTTGTTTTAGATCAAATTAAGCTAGTGTATCAGTTTAGGAAATGGGATGTAATGTACAAAAAATAGTCACGTGGTGAGTAAATATTGATTATTATACATTGATAAGTTAAGTATAAAATAGTAAATATATAATACGCATGGTGTGTTAGAGACATCTAACATCGCCCCGTACATGAAATAATAATATAATATTGACATTTTTCCTATAGGTATCAAAAAAAAATTGGCACTTATGATAAACAACAGTGGGAAAAAACGATTGAGCAACGTATTCTGAGTGGATTTACGCATGTTCCAAAGAAAAATGCTAAATTGAAGACTGATCTTATTGATGTAGACTTAGTGAGAGGTTAGTAGTAGTATTGATTAAGTCCTGTACTTACGGTACAGAAAGTAATAATGTACAAAATATGTATAATAATATAAAATTTTGAAACCATTATGATAAAAAAATGCCCATTCATATGACCCTGGCCTTGTTCTACAATACACAACGGGGTTCTATGTGGTCTGAGGTTAAGGTCTATTGATTTTTTTTACCCATTGACCTTTCCGGCAAAATCAATACAGCCAAAACTCGCGTAACCGGCGGATAGTTGAGTGTATCCTTTTAATTATAACATTAATTTCTGTCTTAAAACATACATTATATTGATAATATTATTAATTTGTATCGAAATGATTGTACTTTGTTTACAGGATCGGCATTTACCAAAACGAAACCGAAACACGGATTTTTCACTGTAGCCCGTCTGGCGATCGTCCGGCTATTATTTTTACCATGCTATTACCGATGGTACATACACCAGACGTCATGGCGATTGTTTCTGTCGCTTTTATGTCTTTACGTCTTGGAACTGGCAAACATTTTGTTGTTCAGTTACGTCACGTTTATTTCCTCCTCCGAAGAAGAAGACACATCACCGGTACGTAACAATATTATAAATTATTTATAAAACATCACGTCGTAGAACAGAACGTTAACAGCATTGTAGGCACATTATTATTTGCCTAGTACAATAAATTGTCATTGTATTGTCCTTGTGCGTTGTTCGGCTAAAAACTTGGTCATGTCCATCGACCGTTGAGTTTCGAATTCTAATCCAAGAATGACTGGGACACCCGGCCAGTGGTCGTCTTGTTTCGAATTGAATTGTGATATGTGCTGGCCTGTATGTAGGATTTTTTCATGAAGGGGGTTAAAAAAATATATATTAATTTTTAAATATATGAAAAGTATTTATTTATTAAAGTTTTTTGATTATACTTAATATCACATTAGTAGTTTTGTAGAAGTACATTTCCTTTTAGTTCGATAAAATCAATAGCTGTTATAACCTAGATGCAAAAAAGGCAACGGGGATTTGGACCTCTCCCCCTCCGTAGACACGAGCCTGAATATAAGTAATATTTTGTGTAGGTATTAAACTATAATGTGTATAATATTTAGGCGTCCTGAATAATATTATATCTAGACGATGTTCGAATCCTGCTGTCGGTACCATAATATTTTAAGTAGGTATAGTACGAACCTACACAAAGCCGACGGTTCATTCCGTTATTATTCCGGTCAGTCACTCGTAAGCAATTTTATTGTCTGTATTATAAATTATAGTGTATTATCTCGGCGTAAACTACAAGGTTTTTAGTGTACTGCCGTGTATAGCTGTGTACGATATAAATATAACAGACATTACAACGAATTTAATCTACAAGATCGTCTATGTAATAATTTATTTCCTAGACTTTTATGCGTCTGATATAAAGGTCACATAGTTTAAGATTAATTATCATAACTATAAAAAAATTAATGCATTTATGATATCGTTTGTTATTTACCTAAGGGCTCTGTTACGTTTAACTTATAAATGATTAAAGTACTTACGCACAAAGTTTCTACCTATCTACGCATTAATGAAGTATTATTATACATTATATAATGACGTCACGTTTAACTAAATACGCTACGGATTATATGATATTGCGATTTCATAAATTCTACATTTACGTATTATTTTTACAATTTAAATATATGTTTAAAAATAATCTGTTATATGTTCTATAACAAAAAAAAATCGAAATATTTACTATTTGTTCATAACACATAATAAGAATTTATCTTAATCATAAAATAAATGTTTTTTTCTTTTAAAATATTAATGATGTTATTAGAAGGAAAAATAATTCATCGATAGAACTCAAGAGGTATTATTTTATATTTTAAATGTGCATGATTACTATGCCAACAATAAATATCTTCTCTTAAATAAAATCTTTAAATCAAAATGTTGGTCTCGCCTCCGGGTTAATGTTCTAACAAGCAATTTAACACAATCTTTAATCAATGTCCCTCACTTTTTACAAACTATTAACTAACTCTCTCCGTCATCTAATTGAATTCTTCCCACTTGTTTTCTTAGAAATACGCCAATATTCAACGTGTTTTACCATCACTTCATCTTAGATAATCGCAGAACCAAATTATTATAATTCACCTATTTATTTTGTAATATTTAAACTTATTATTTTCTTTAAATTACTAGGTTTTTTTTTTTAATTATACAACAAAGGGATGTCCGTAATCTCCCAGCTCATTCTTTATTTATTCAACACATTATTAATCATTCCCAAAATTTTATATTGCTCTAATATTAGAAACCTGGTTCTTCCTTACCAGAAAGTTCAATTTAGAACGACTGTAGTGTAATATAAATAATTAATATATTGTATATAGAAGTAAAAATTAAAACATTGTTATCGTATTTTTATAATTATGGTATAAATCTATTACTTTTTATTAATATCAACATCATTATACTAATTTAAATCAGTTTTTTTTTTAAATTTTACTTATACCTATCACATGCTAATCTAAAATTTAAAATTTAATTGTATATTATAATTTGATCAACCAATATGACATGTATGTATTTTTTTATATTTATCTTCAATATTATGTTAATGTTATATTGAATAATTGTTGAAACTATAGGTTTTTACCACGTAAACTAATATACATATATATATATATATTTATACAATGTTATTATTAAAACAACATTAATACAATCAGTTGTAATAACAACAATTATACTTCGTAAAAATGATTTATTATTTATTCTATGAAAATGGTATCACACGGGCCAAGGTGGATATATATATATATATATCATATATTATATCCACCTTGACACGGGCATAACCGACTTTATGCCATATATAATAAAATACTTAGTTGCCTGGGATGTCAGATTTTATAAAAAAAAAAAAATTGTATATTTTTTGAACAACTTAACAAATCTATTAATAATTGATTTAAAAATTAAATTTATAAAATTGAATTATACTTTCACATAAAGACAATAATAAATTATATTGAAGAAAAATGTCAATAAATGAATCATAATCACTGTGATAATTTTAAGTTTTTGTGTAACGTAAATATAATCTAATAAATGCATAGACATTATGAATGATAAAAATAGATGATTATAAATAGACAAATAATGATATTATAAAAAAATTTACATGGATCTTCAGTTACTACTTTCAAAAAATGGTGATGAGTGAAAATAGTAAATTCCATGGCAGACATTTCGATGAATTTTTAAGGGGGTTAGAATAATCCAAAATAAAGTGACTCATAGAATAACATTTTAAATAAAGTTTCAACTTTTGTTTCCAGTAGTGGGGGAGGGTTAAGCCTCCTGATACCTTCTCCATTATAAGTGATGTAATAGAAATGATGGATGAATTATTAGCATTGCTTTAAGTATTAAATTCCATTATAGTACCATGTTAGATTTGTTAATGTTTATTGTAATTTGTAAATAATGATCAATGATGATTTATATGCGAAATATAAAGCAGTAATATATCATATAATTTTAACAATGTCTTTGTATCGGTAACAATAGGGGAATGGAAATTTTCTAAAATTAAAAACTATTTGAGGTTTTTTGAACCAGAATAGGTTAAATGGTCTTGGAGTCATTTTTATTGGAAAAGAAGTGATAATAAATCTAAAACTTAAAAATTTACTCTTACTTTTAGCACAAGAAAAATCTCGCAATAAGAATTTAATTTGACATATTTTGGATATTGTAGTTTTTTTATTTCATATTTTATTTTAATATTTGATAGTTTATAATGTTGATTATAAATATGACTTGTATTAATATTTATTTTTATACCCCCTCCTCCCATCCACACATCCACACACACACACACACACACACACACACACACAATAAATTCACTATTGAGTGAGAGTGATGCAAATTAGATTACTAGGATGACAAAAAAATTTGAAGCTTGTCGTCCTGCATTCATGATTTGTAAGAGTAGGTAATGAATGTTAGTATTTCTAAAAAATTTTATTTGGTTTTCACATATTTATACATTGTTTTAACAAACTTATCAACGTTGAAGAATGAAGGTTACTCTTAGGTTAAGTTCCATTATTTCATTTATTTGATAGATATTCATAAAGACTATGTTTTTTTTTCAAGACTGTAACACTTGGTGAAGTACTGAGTCCATTTATAATGATGCTTGTTTTGAGCATTGTTCATTCGCAAATTGTGTCTACCACTACAATTTCAAAAAAAAATTTCCTGAAAACACCTAGATCTCATAGCTCAAGACATGCTAAAAGGGGTCATTCTACCTCAAATAAAATTAAAAGTAAATTTATATTATTATTTATAATAAGTATATAGCTTAACTTGATTTATACTATGATAACAATTTTATATAATACTAAATTAATTAATGAATAATATAATTATAGATTCAACTGAAATGAATGTAGAAAGTATTCAATCTTTAGTTGGTACTGATACTAAATATGTGAAGCGGAGAAATAGAATGTGAGTTATAAACTCTTTTCATTAACATCTATATTATTGTTAAATCATTATGTTGTACTGTTTTAAACTATTTTTGACTGATAAATGATTATGTATGTTTAACTACTAAAATTTATGTTTTAGTGGAGATGCTTCTAAACCCCAAAATGTTGTATGGGATACGTCACCTGTAAAAACACGTCATTGGGTTCTAGAATCGTTATCTGATGTTAATGTTTCAATAGTTCCCGAAGGTTTTGGTTCCGATTTACGTTTAGTTAATCTTGATGAAAAAAAGCAGTTAGGAGGAGTGTAAGAAAAGTTTATATCTGCATAAATATGATAAAATGTATTGATATCATTAAATTTTTTGTAGGGATCGTATGGATGTAAGACCTAATACGTCTAGCTCAACACATGATGATGATGGTTTTGAAAGTTTAAACGGCAATGGATCCAGTGATAATCCCGAAGAAGATATTTTAACTGGTTCCACTATTACATCCCAAACGTCCGAGTCTACTAGTGCTGAACAATCAAGTAGTACACCTAAACATGATCAATTAGTTGAGAAAGTTGAATGTGATGTTACGTTAGTAGCAAAAAAGTCTAATGATCTAGTTAGTAAAAATGTTTCCAGTCAGAAAAGATGTTTAAGATTTAAAAAAACTCCATTAACTTCAAAAGCTTCCATTGCTGATTTGGATCGTAGACTTTCTGGTATAAAAATTGAAATTTCCTTTAAATATCAATTTAATTAATGAATAAAATAATTATTTCCTCTTTTAGCTTTCCAGACATCTTCATGTTTTAAATATGCAGTTAATTCTGAATCTGAAGATAGTGAACAAGAAATTAAAAATGACGGTTCAATGTGTCCAAAAGTAATTTATTAATTTTGTATAAAAAATATTAAATATGTTTACATGTGTAATAAGTATATAATAAAGTAAACACTATTAATATAATATCATTTTAGCGTTTACTCGTACGACGTAGCCATCGTTTACAAGTCCTTAAAAAGACAAATTCTGATGATGATGAGGACGATAATGTAGATAGTTCTTCTAGTCGACAAACAGATGAAGAAGGGGATGTATTATCATCCAATGGTGGAAGCGCTTGTCCACTATCCATGTTGACTGAAGGAACAACTAGTGCTGGTGAATGGATTGGTCTTACCACAAATACTGAAGAAGGTTCTTCTACTTCGGATATGGATGCTGAACAGACTAACTTATTAAATGATAACCAAGATCATCCTTTTTTATGGGAATTTGAAACTGTAAGTTAATTATTGGAAGTAGCTTTATGAAAAGAAAGAAAATCATGATATTTTAACATTTTATTATAAATTTTTTTTTTTTTTGAAGACACCAACTGTGATATTAAGCCCAAGTTGTGCGGCATCAGACAGAGGTAAAGTTATAATTTATTGATTTTTTTTATTGCTTAATAAAATATTCAATATTGATCATAATTTGTAATAGTTAATTAATTCCTTTTTTTTTTTAAAGTATTTAAAGTTAATTTTGGTTTAATCAACTAATGTGATAAATTAAATCTTTAATTGGTTTTTAGTAATAGAAATACTTAATTTGTATTAATATTAATTTATTGTTTTAGTATGCTTAAATAATATTAATATTCATTAATATGTTTTAGTGAGTTGTACAATGTGGGAAAAAAAAGAAGTAAAAAAAGCTGATTTATCTGTATTAGATATAAGTTCTGCAATAATTGCTAGAGTAGAAGAGATTCCTGAACAAATGGATTACTTCTACTTAGGTAAATTGTGTTATGTTTAATCTGTATTTACAGTATTTAATATTTTTATATTTCTTAGGTGTTTTCTTGTCTGTGATAATTGCCCTCATGCCATCAGCTTATAGATTACTTAATAGCTTGACAGAGGATAAACCTTTACCAACCTTAGCTATTACTGTGAATGAACCCCCAGAATATGTGTATAAGCAATATTTATCTGCATTTTTTACCATTGTTAATGCTGCTTTCTCGCCCATTGGCTGGTGAGTATTAAAAAATATTAAATTATATTTTAATTTTATTAATTGATTTAATTCTATTTTTAGGGAACGATATATCGTGATTACAACCTTGATAGAACGGTTTTGTTTATCCTTAATGTTCTTCTTCCTATTAACTGTAGCAGAGCGCACGTACAAACAGAGATTTTTGTATGCAAAGTTCTTTTCGCACCTTACATCTTTTAGAAGAGCTAGGAAATCTAAATTGCCTCATTTTAGACTTAATAAAGTACGGAATATCAAAACTTGGCTTTCCATACGCTCTTATTTAAAAGTAGGTTAATTATGTGTATTGTTATCATTATACTTATTGTAATAGCTTAAAATAAATTGACTAAATAGAATTTATATTAATAAGCTTTCTTCTTATTATTTTATAACTAATTTTTATAGAAACGTGGACCTCAAAGATCAGTAGATGTGATTGTGTCATCTTCATTCTACATATCATCATTGTTTTTAGCAATTTTAAGTGTAGAATTACTTAAGGTAAGTAATAAAACTAGAAATGTCTTAAAAATTAAAAAAAAAAATTATTACATTATTATATTATTGTAGGATACATTTTCTTTAAATTCAGAATTTCACCTCGAGTCTTCAGCTTGGTGTATGGTGTTAGGAATTTACCTTTTGCGATTTTTGACTTTAGGAACAAAAATTAATAGGAAGTATAGAAATTTATCGACACTTATTACAGAACAGGTAAATATTATAATATTTTAATGATACTTTTTGAATTTTGAATACATTCTTAAATTATTTTAATTTATATTCCAATTAATTTACATTTATAATTTTATAAATGTCTTAATTTTCTCTACTTTGTAATATAAAGTATCAAAAAACTAGCATTTTAATAATATATTGTCTAAATAAGTACATTTATGATTTACTTTTGTTTTAGATTAATTTATATATGCAGATAGAACAAAAACCTAATAAAAAAGATGATTTGATGGTTGCCAACAGTGTTTTAAAATTAGCTGCAGATTTACTAAAGGTATATTTTATACATCTTATTATTATTTTGAAAACTAATAGCTACTTTCTATTAATATTTTCAAGTTTAAAATATATTTAAAAATTATGTATATTATAGATAATGAATAGATATCTATGTGAATTAATCATTTATATTTCTTAATTTTAAATGTTAAAATGTTCTTTGGCTTATAGATTAAAATAAATTTAAAACATTTAGCATTATTTAAAAATAAATTCTTAGTAGGCAATTAAGTTTTAAAGTTTTTTATTTTAAAATTTTACTTTTTTGAATTTCGAGGAATAAATTATGTGTCATTATGCACAGTGAATTTTAAAGAAATAAAATAATAAATTTTAAATTTACACATATATTAAGTACTAATGTGCCTTTATTTCATATTTCATATTTTTCAGAGTTGGAAAATTGTAAATTCATCAAAGGCTTTCACTAGTTAAAGAATTATATGTTGTAATTTTGTTATAGTTAATTTTCTAATAAACTCAAGTTCTTAAATAGTTAAATTATTGTTAAAAGAACTTATTTTTTAATAGTTTCAAATTTCAACACATCATGGCTTTAAATACAAATAATCTAATAATTTATAATAATGTTAAGAATACTATTATTTCTGTTTCTTGATAAAATAATATTATTCATTGAAGGGCACAAATTAAATACTCTTTATGTAATAATTAAAAAAGTAAACTAACTTTTTTTGAACTTAGTGAGGTAAATTTATTATTTATTATTTATTAATTATTAACTTTATACTTGATTATCTTGTGTTTATTTTACTTACATTTAGTTCATTATTTTTAATTAATTGCCCACCTTTGAAATTTACGAATATCAGCATATATATAATTGTATGTTTATTATTTATGTATGTATTAAAACACAATAATTTAATTACTTTTTCTATTTATATTAAGCTCAAGTTAATGTTTCAAACTAATCTGTTACACTTATTTCTCTAAATTTAGCTCATAATTATATACACTATATACAAATTATCTGTTGAGTCTAAACTATAAAAAAATAAAATAATAAAATATAAAAATATCATTATTCATAAATTATATAAATATATGTAAACATTAATTAAAAGTTTATATTATCAAACGTTATTAAATTAATACTATTGAAATAAATGGAGTCTATTTATTTAATCATGCTACTTAATTTTTACTCTTAATAGAAATACCATTTTATACACTAATAAATATTAGCAAAGTTTTCTATAGTCTAGAAATTTACACAAACATTTTTGATTGTACTTTAATGTATAAAAATATTTGTTCTGTTTGTTTTTAGGAATTGGAAAGTCCATTTAAAATTGCAGGTCTATCTGACAACCCGTACCTGTTTACATTGATAAAAGTAGTGATCCTGTCTGCTCTGTCTGGCGTGCTTTCTGAATTACTAGGATTTAAATTGAAGTTGCACAAAATCAAAATAAAATAGATTAATTGTTTAGGTTAGGTAAACAAAATACCTGCTTATGAATGTGGTCACTTTTTGAAGTGGTGATGATCACAACTTATATTATCATATATAGTCATCAGAATTTTTATATGAAATCATGGCATGTTTAGACAGTGGTTATGATGACACAAGAGCTCGTTTTTTCCAATGCTATTTGTTGTGTACTATGTACATCAATAGACATTATTATCCTTCACGTTCATCTAGGATTTGCCATTTATGAAGTCATCATTCTATAGTTTGCCATAATACCTATTATGTATAATAATGATATATTTTCTGAGACTTCTAACTTTACATATATATATATATATAATATATGATAACAATACCTACCTTACAAACTAAACAATAAATGTCGTGTTCATAGATGTAACTTTAGTTATAACAGGCGTTTAGCTATACTTTTAATTATATTGTAAAACATGAATCCAATTGTAAATAGTGATACCTAGTGTTTATATAATATACAAGTTTGGTACCATTATAATAATAAGTAAGCATAATTTATTGTGTAACATGAGGTAAACAGATATAGTATCAAGTGTTATTGTTGGTGACAATTTTTAGTGATTTTTATAAAATTGTTTTTAAATTCGAGATGAGGTTTATTTAGCTAATTAATTTTTATGGTGTATAAATGTATCTACCAACCAAGCTGCAGTTCTTAATAAATATTATATTATTTATAAATGTTTTAACAGCAGTAGTTGTGATGTACAATGGTTGTACTATAATAATTGTAGTTGGTCAGTTAACTGTCCTTTACTAGTATCAAAATCCTTAATACAGTGACATATAATTTATTTAATCATCAGAAAAGGTCTGGAAGCAATACTTTACACTGTATAGTGATGTATCTCACTATGGTTGGAGCGTTTATAGTCCAAACACATGAAATGTTATTTTAATATTTATCTCCTCTTTTGATAATTGTTTAGAAGTGTACTTTATTTTCTATACATTATCAGTTATCACTGTGATCTTTTTGTTATTATTTAATAATTTAATTCTAATGTTGTTTATATAGTGATAAATGAACTGTCTACACAATATAAATGTATTTAATAAACTTGTATTATGAAATCAATATTTTTGTTATTTTTGCCCTTAACATATTTGTGTTGATTCTCATGATAGGTACTAGAGGTTTGCATTGGCCGAAAATTTGTAGCCTGATTCTATGCAATTATGTTTTTGGTAAGCCTACACCAGTCCAAGTAGTGAATATCTCAGTTTTTTTGAAATTGTGATCTGCGACCTGGTAACTATTTTTTTTAATTGTTTAATTTTTAATTACCTATTTAAACATTTTTTTATCAATATTTTTTTCTTTAAATTAAGTACATAAGAATATATTTTTATTCAAACAATATATTGCTATAACTTCTAAACTTATTAATATCACTCTCCCACCACACTAGTTCTGTTTAAACACGCCAAAAAGTTCTAATCGGAGCATGGCAAGTTTTAGTTTTGAAATTTACACGGACATGAAAATGTGTATTTAATTATATTGGCTACACGTTGTTTCCGCTAAGAATTGTTTTTTATGTACAATGATCAATGCAATGTCATTGAATTCAAATTTTAACTCATCCATCATCCATTACAATGACCTACTGTAGGTTTAGCAGAACGGTGCTAACTTGCCTAACTATTTATAATTTGTTTAATTTTAATTAAAATTCTGTATTTCTGTAATTCTATAGGTAGGAATATGTTATTTCTAAAAATTAATGTAATTACCTGCCTATACTTGACTTTAATGGAAAACCAACTACGGATGTCCGTGTGTTCGATCACTATTCACTATTGAAATAATATGAAATGATTAGTCAAAGATCATTAGGTACCTGTCTCGATTTGTGTATTTATTTAAAATATAATATAGCCTTACGTTGTGAAAAAAATTAAAAGATTAATACCTACTATTTTTTTTTTTTTTTTTTACAATTTTTGAATTGCTTTAAGTCGATTTGAATAATAAAAGCAATTAACGAAAAATTAGAAAATAAATACCTACATACCTACGTATGTATCTACGAGATCTACAAACATTTTTAGCAAAATTCTTTCAGAATTTTTCTTTAACCATTATTATATGAATTAAAAAAAAAAATAATAAAATGTACCTAGATCTGTGGTGTGCGACCGACTACCTGAGGATCGCGAATTTTTAATAGTAGGTCGTTAATAATATAACACCAATCGTAAAAGCTATATATTATTAATATATTTTATATTTAATCAAAACTAAATTATCAAAACAATTAGTATCAATTTTATTTCCTTTTGTTTTAATTTATTTAGGTATGTGAAACAGCATTTCGACATTAACGATTATAAAAACATAAATCAGTCCAAATTGAATGTCGAAGCAGGTGTAAGAGTACCTAGCGCCGCTAGCGATCTCAAATTTAAAATCTATCATGTCTTAAGTTTCAAGCACAAAACACATATCAAATCATTTGAACTTTATAATTTTAAAATTATTAAAATGTTTACAATATTATTATACCTATTAATTTCATCAATTGATTTTTATTATATTATTCATTGTCATGTTTTTAAATTTATTAAGTAAACATTGATTTGCCTAAAATTAACTATTATAAACCAAAATTTTGTAGGTACATATACTTATGTAATTTTGGTAAGGCGATCAACAAAATAAATAAATTAGGAGGGGGTTGTGGATCTAAAAAGGTTGCGTACTACTGACCTAAATACTCAATACGTGAATAGCGATAGGTACACGAATGTTAGTGTATATATATTATTATCTTATAGTTCCATATAGGTAAATACTAAATAGTCTAACAAGTCTAACAATTAATGGTTTTCGTTACTTAGATAGTACTTAGCTGAGTTAGTACCTAATCAGTTTTAAGAAAAAATGAAAAACAGTTGCAGCTTCAATGAATTTTAAACCGTTATCATTATTGTCATCGTTATGAGAACCAAGACATGGTTTTACGTAAAATAAAAACCGGAGAAGTCTTTCTGCTATTTAGTAGGTATCGAACACTGTCGAGTGAAGATGACTCTTCAGTCTTCATTGATTATTTTAGTTGGTCATTGTAATATAATTTTTCGGTATAAGTATTATCTATACTTATAGTCGGCTCCGCAGTAGACAGTATAGGCCACCATAGATAAATTTGCTTTAAAATCGTCAATGGTCATAACTTTTGCGTGACCGTTTGGTCGTAAGGACGGCCATACTATTATGGTACCGTAATTTTTTTCTAATATTTTGGTGACTGGCACTACCATAAGATTATAATTTATATTAATAGGTATACAAATTTAATTCAGCGCCAATGTTGCACGTAAGTACCTACATTTTTTGCAGAATAGCGTCAACATTGGCAGTACTTGCACAATATTATAATTATTTATAGGTATAAACCATAAATAATACGCACAAACATTGAAATAATCATACAAAATACAAATATATTGAGTTGTATCCATTTATAAATTATTTATACGACGAATGACGATACCAACATCATACTCGTATCTCGCGTACAGACGTAGGTGTAATTATTGTTCCGAAGGGAATATTATTTATTAATATGTAACAACTAACAAGTAACAACGCATTTCGGGTTTTGCATTCATAATATTACGTATATTTTTTTTATTTTTACAAATTTGAGAAATAATATCTCATCGAAATGGCAATACAGTCAAGTATATTTATATACTAAGCTTAGTTTTGTTATATCATGTCATAGTAAATAGGTGGTAAACGTATAATAAATATATAGTGTCAATAGTGATACGACTACATCGGCATGGTCCACAAGAACGAATGGCACCGACAACTTATAAAATAGGTATGGATACGATTTGTTTAATTATTACAATATAATTATAATAGTAGGTACAATAAATTAGAACACGCGACACTCTATCAATATTATTAATATTATATTATTTCTATATCTTATCTAATTGTTTCAGAAATATTCTAAATTTATAATAACATACAATAGCATATTATTATTATATTGTTATATCAATATTATTAGTATTACGTTTTTGAAACGTAGAATTCTACGTTCTGATGCTACAATTAATTTGTGTTTTGCGAGACGGATATCAAACTACATTAATTAGGTTTGAGTAACGTAATCTTCTAGACTCGAAATATCGTTAAATTAATCGTGAACATGAAATATCATTTGCAATTTATTGACTAGACAGTAACTAGTTGAATAGCATTGTGTTTTGAAATAATTAGAAGAGACATTTTTGAAGATTCAATATTAATTAGATAGATACACCCAAACGTCTGAGAAGAAAAAATATTCACTCTACATTAAGTACCCTAAAAAGTTTCATTTTATACCCTTTTAAAAGTAAGCGTGATCGAATAATAATAGTAATATTGTTGATTTTAAGGTGCAGTTATAATAAATTATTATTTATCGTGTTTCACTTCTCAGGCTTTCGGGTAAAGATGTGGCTTATAAGAATCAGTATAATGTGTATATTATAGTATACATAAGTAGGTACAAATTATATGAATTTACAAATCACGGATAAAAGTATTTTATTCGACGAAGGAATGTTTTTTTTTTCTGGACAATATCTACGCGTGACTTATATCTCGTAATTGCGAAACTTATTAATAATGTCCGCATTAGACTTGGTGTCCCATTTTACTTTATTGGCTCCTAAGTTAACTCCACCTTCAGATGCTCTCCTGGATGCCACTGAAGACGAAGCCCCTTCACCACCTTCCGGAAGCATTCTGTCTTTAGTATTCATTTGTGCCCAGTGCATAGACTGAAAAAAATGAATAATTACGATATTAATATCTATTGCAGTTGAACATTTAAGTAACAGTATTTAATACATTATATTATAATTTATAATCGTCTCATATTCAATAATGGTGTTTTAAGATTTTAATAGAAATTAATAATTATTGGGATATTTATAAATATTATGTATTAAAAAAAAACGTAGAGTTTATAGCCGTTATAAATATATTTACATATATATTTATATATTATTATACACGGAGTATATTACATAACATGCTCTTTCTCATTTTTCTTTTGATTAACTATCTTGATGTATGAAAAATAAAAATTAGAATACACTCGATAATGAGTAGTTTCTGATTTTTTAAATTCCGAGTTCAAGGTCTATGGATTATGGTTCAGGATTAAAGGTTTAGAAGGTCGATGGGTGACACTACGATTTACATGTAGGTACGTAAATAAATATGTATTTGTAAAATCAAAAATCGTCTAAGTGAAACAAGTATTTGACTAAACATTAGGTACATCTATTTTATTTTTATGTAAAATCATTGTTAAATATCATTTATTTTTATAATTAGACCTTATTGTACTATGTTTAAAAACTCGTACTTATCAGTAACCGGATTAAATTTATTGTTCTTCCGAAAAGTTTATGCTATATCCGCAAGGACGTGGTAACCGAGGTTTTATTAATGGAACGAGTGCATGGAAATTGGAAATATAATTTCTGTACGGTTTCCGATCTCGATTTAAAAACGTATTATGTATTTATGTTGAAATGATTACACGGAAATAATCTAAACACGCTGTTTACTGAAATATGGCGTGATTTTTTTTTTTTTTGTTGATTGCTTAATTGGAGAAAAAAAAACTAATAAATGTTCCAAGTGCGCTGCGTTTCATGTAATTTAAAATATTTAGACAATATTGTAAAACGTAAAACTTATCGACTTTTTTTGCCAGTCATATTTACCTGGAAAAAATGTATAATGTTGTCCTAACTCCTGATGCATAATTTATTAATGGAATTTAAACAATTATTAAACTTCAAAAGTACAATGTAAATTAAATCAGTAATATAAACTCATAAAGGATATTCATTATTTAGAGGTATGAAGCAAAAGCGTAAATAATTATTTAGGTAGTTCACTAGTGCATGATGTTTATATACAGGATAATTCAACGACCATACTCACCCCTTTCTACTTCTACAATAATAATACAGTTCTCCAAAATCTGATTTTTAGAATTTTTGAATATATTTAAATACTAGCTATGTTTAAACATTTTAAGATTATTTATATTACCTAATGAGAGTTTCGTGAAGATACAGATTTTTGCATTTTTCAAATGAAAATTCACTATTTATACTACAAATTATTTAACGGATAATAATTTTTCTGAAAAAATTTCGGTATCAAAATCAAAATTCGATCAAATTATTTTTGAGTTATTTAATTTTGTAATTTTTATATGTTAATGATTATAATATTATGAAAGTCCTATAATAATGAATATATAAGATATAGAGGGCTATGGTAATTTCAAAATATTAGTAACTAATATTAATCTATCAATACTTATAATTTATAAAAATAATAATCTAAATTCAATAAATATTACAGATCCGATATTTCGTGTATTTTATATTTTCATAAAATAATTTTTAAAAACTATAATTATCTTTACATGAACACTTTAATAACAAAAAACCATTCGTTCGCATTTTGAATTAGGTTTATCAAAATTTTCAGAGATATCAAATGTTTGTATTACTACAGAACACTGTTCCTTAGTATAGTATAACAATTCTTAAAAATGATAAAACTCGATATTTAAGTATGTTTAAAAGTCAGTTACCAGATAATAATACTATTGCTAAATTAAAAATGTGGGGTGATCATAATATGTCTCGGTAAATCGCCGTGTATACATGCCATGGGGTATTTATAATAGAGGACTGCAGCAGTAGGTACTTACCTCTTATATACGGCCTATACCTACCTACTTCGGTTTATTGAGCAATAACTGCCGGCGCAATGTATAAAACAAAATAAAATTGACGCCCTTTTATATATTTTATGGACGCCCGATATCTGTATTGTTATTGATGTTTCGAATTTACACGAGCTTAACACGAACTGATACACCGTCGTTTCAACTATATAGTAACTACAACATGTATCTATTATTTGAAATTCACACTCCGTACTTGTTGGAAATGTTCTTTGTTGCTCAGCCAGGTTTTATAGCTAACGGCCACGCCGCTATTCTTCCATTTGTCGTAAGTTGCCCGCTTTTCTGGATCGCACAGTGTTTCTTTGGCTTCCTGCAACGTACGCGAATATATCATTCGAAGACGACAATAATAATAATAAAAACAGTGGGTAATAATATTAAGTACCTACGTATCAAATGAGGCGCGAACGCCCGTTATTGCTTACATTAAGTTTCTGGAACGTTTCTTCGGCCTTCTTGTCTCCGGAGTTTTTATCCGGGTGATACTTAAGAGCTCTTACTTTGAATTCGGCGCTTATTTGTTCCACCTATTTAACATAATGTCCAACGTATACATTAACTGTGAATAGTAATAAAGAATTTATACGTTTGGGGCGGAAAAAACATCGATTTAAAATATTATTTATTTAATCTACAAATTAACGCAGTTTTATTGTTTTTTTCTGCAGTATTCTAGATTTAATTTTTTTTCTAGTTGAAAACGTAGAACACTCATATTTTAGGACATCCAACAATAATTTAATTTATCAATCACAATTAATAATGCTTTCAGCGAAAATAATTCAATTGTGGAACGGCTTTAGGTGTTGCTTTTTCCAACCTGTTTTCCCGTTATAATATATTGCCTACGTAGCTATATGTTTGTTTGAAGTTTCTGTGATATTAGTGACAACAGAGTTTAGATAAATTGACTACAAAGTGAAAAATATTTCATTTGGCAACTTGCAATCAATATTAATATTAATAATACGTGACATGTGCTGTGTATATTTTATCATCGTTGTCAGAGTGAGATGTGTATATCTAACTGAGTAAGTTTAACTGTATTAATTATAATACGTAAATACATTTCAAATAGGTAATATATATATATTATATTATGTACCTTTTATACATATTGTATAATAAAGGCTTTTGAATTAAGTAAATTTTACAGCCAATGAGATATAATAGGTGCAAAATATTATAATGGTCGGTGATGTTTCAATAAAACACATAGGTACAATAACTGCATCCATCTACCCACCCCATAGAAAATATAGACAACTACTAACAGTACTTTGTTAGGTTGTAAGTAAGTACACGAGACATAGCAGACAGAAATCTGTGAGTGTTGTATACCTACCAACCAAGTTACGTACATTGTGCATACATTATGGCCTTTGTCTATTTTCAGAAGCCTAAATAGTATTGTCTCGAATTGACATATATCATTACGTGAAATTAGCATTATAGTGTAGTTTAGTGTGTACCTACGTGTATTGTGTATACAATAATACAGAGTTTTGTTAACTTTTAAGGTTCAATTGTACTTTTTTTCAGTAGCGCATACAATTGTTTGTTGTATGCTTAATGTGTTTTGTCAAATAATCCTAAATGGTACAAATAATAATAATAATAATAATATCCTCGCGTGAAATGCGTATGGCTTTACCTTTTGACTTTTTTTAACATATAAATAGCTTCAATAGACTGCAGTTTGTCCACTCAATAATGAAAGCGCTTGAAAGCAAGCTGTTTTTTAATACAAGTCGAAAGATTCTCTATACCTACGCATTTTATGAATGCGCCACAGGTGTTGTACCTTATAAGTCTATCGTGTTTTTTATATTATAACACTTCAATATTTCATTCATTGAAGAAAAAAACATTTTAAATATTCTTTTGAAATTATTTTCATGCAAAATATTTCAGTGTAAACATCTTTACACCGTTGAGTTCAAAGTAAATTATTTTGTCAACTAAACATAATGATTTATAGAAATCTTCTATTTATAAATTTACAGAAGACTACAGATTTTAAGAACTTTTTTTTTCCAATTTATGACAAATATGATAAGTTTAATATTTTAAGAAACATACAATACATGTAAGTTTCTATGAAGTATAGAGCACAATTCAGCTCATATGTCTTAAACCTTTTGATATCAAGGACTACTTTCATTTTAAGTCCTATGAGCCGCAGTAAGCATTGTAAAAACAAAAAAATCCAAATGTAACTTAAACTTAGATAGGTTAATTTATTGATAAATTAATAGAAAATTATAAAATTAAATAAGGAAAATATGTAACTGTAGATGATTTAGCAGTAGAATAGCTCCAAAACGTTTGTTACAATTTTTCAGTAGCATAAACAATGACGCGATGATGAGAATGAGTCGATTGCTCAAGTTAAAAATATAAGAAAATCCATTATACCTTATTATTGATAGATTTATCGCGAGACATATAAAAAATTATTATCCGGTTCTGTTTTTATTAATATTATAATTTTAAAGTGAGTTATAAGCATTTTAAAGTTGTAATATTAGACAGAGTTACAATTTACTTTGAAATAATAATATCAATAAAAGCATGTGTATTGGACTAGATAATACTTTTTATATCTAAGTTTGATAATAGGTAAATTTACTCTAATATTAAAGCTAATAACATAAAATCGATTCTGCTAAACTCAAATTTACTATATTGTATGTATATTAAGACACAGAAACTATAATATGCGAATGTGACATCCTCTTAAATATTTTTGTATGTTCCAAAATAAATATTTTCAATCTTTTTGATATTTAATATTTAAGCAATATACTTAGGTAATAATTATAATTTAGGCATAATAAATAATAATCATTCAAAAATAAAAATGTATTAATTTACTGTATAACATCGTAAAATATAAATAATTACTTATAGATACATTTAAATATAAATCAAATCATCATAAGTTATTCACGTTAATTTAATCGTTTTTTTAATTGTATTATAGTTAATATAGTTTGTGTATAATTAAATGAAAAAACGTGACAATTCACGTTTTAAATAAAGGTACATTATTTAAAAAAATGAAATATTACAATATTGAATAATGTAATAACAGTATATTTAGAATCAACAATGTGTCATATAAAAATAAAGATATATTAATATAATTCGTTAATTTTTTTTTTTTTTTGTAAATTATTGTGAGTAAATTGAACTACACGGCGGTAGATTAGGTTATTATAATTTATAGTATTTTCGATTGGTATTAAAACAATTATATTAATAACAGTTATTAAGAATAATCATCCAAAGTTATTTAATTGACATTATTGATTGTATTATGCACAAATCACTAACTATATAATAGAGGCCTGATGTTCTTATTTTCTAGGATTTCAATCTAACTGCAGATTCAAAATTCATTGGTGATTTGAGAAAATTACATAATATAATATAATTATCTCGATAATTTTAATCTATGTATATATAAATGTGAAAATGGAAATCATGCTTTGTCACGTATGTTCTCTGAAACAACTCATTCGATTACTTTGATTTTTTTTTTTTTTTTTTAATGAAAAAGTACTTCGCGGAGTAGGTGTTAAGCATATTTTTGATTCTGTAAGTTAATGAAAATTCGAGTTATTAATTTTTTAAATAATTAGCAAATACGCACATACATAAAGATATATTTTTTTCAAACGTATTACCAATTATTAATTACTATGATGAGAAATTAGTATTTCAGTAAATAGTTTAAGTAGTATTTTTGATTCAGAATGAAAAGGAAATCAAATTTGGGTTGTCTAAAAAAAAAAAAATAAAAAAAAAAATTATGCTGTTAAATGGTCAAAGAAAAGTAACGCTGGGCAGGACAGCTATGTAAAGTTGATATGTTGGAAATATCATTTATGCACCACTTCAGAAAACCAAAAATATTAATTATCCACATATGTTACGTTGAATGTTAGCATTAGGCAACAAAATTTAATAAGGATAAATTTTGTACGGGCAACAAAGTGCATGGGAATGCTTATAAGTATATACGTATATAATATGTATACATAATTTATATGTAACTATTTAAGATTTAAGCTTAGGTATTCCATAATATAAAATATACATGTACATAATATAACTTATAAGTATAAACACCGACATTTGTAATTAAATTACTTTGTTAATTTTATTTTATAAAACTTTGAAAATATAAATACATATTATGTTATAGCGTATATAATGCGTATACTCAGTAAATGTTTGATATACGGTCATTTGGATAAATTGCTTTTCGGTTGTTAAGTACCGGATTATGTGGTTTCACCGTATACAGTGGGAATTGGGAAGTATAGTTATAAGACCTCAAACCTCTAATGTGCTTTTAAATATTTGTAAAATTATGTTTAACATCTGGAGTACAGCAGAAAACAATTTAAAATTTAATATTTGTAAATATTGTTTGTTAGTAATATTATTAATAGTATCCATATTATCCAATATTTATTATGTATGTGGTATTACACCAGACGTCAGTTGTACAAAAAAAAAAAATATTGAGTTATAAATATTAAAATACGAGTATATCTATTATAATTACAATAGTTACATTTGAACTGCGTCTATTTACTATATACAGAGTGATTCACCAAACATGCTCAAGGTTTACTCCGATTTTACGTTTTTATAATGAATTTTTTCGAATTTTAAATTTAGAAATTTTAAATTAACTTAAGTATTGTATTATTAAATTATTGAGAATTTTTGTACTACTTAATGAGTGCCCTATATTGCAACTTATGGTTTTCAAATGAATCCTTTCCTCTTTTTGCAGTAATTTATTTGATGGATAAGTTTTTTAAAAATGTTTTTATAATAAGGATAGAAGTCTTTAACAATGATTTTACAAAATATAAAATATTTGTCATATTGAATCAAGTATTTAATATATATCAATGTGGTAATGCGTTGTCATTTGAAAAAAAAACTAGAAGTTTGGACACTAGCTATTTGAAAAAGAAAAAAAGGATAAGCATGCTTAGTAAATCACTCTGCATAGTATGTCAGTGTATTATTGATCTTATAATGTGTTTCGATTTTAATTGATCTATAAATTATTTACGAAAAAAGGACTGTATTAATTCTCTTGAAATTACGAAAATATTTTTATTTAGAAAATGTTAAATGGTATAATATATTTTAACTTTTTAAATAGGTACTTAATATACTATAATAATGTGTGCTTAAAAATAAGATAATATTACTACTGTATTTGTAACCTTAAAGTGATTTAAAATTGGATTATACCATTCATTTTTTTTTTATCATTCATGATCTTGACGAAAAAATAAAATAAAATATAGAACAAATTAAAAGCCAATTTACACTTTAATAAATAACTATAGATTATTAAAATATAATATTTCATTATTTAATTACGGTTATAACCATTATACTTGTATTATCAAGCATAATAGTATTTATAATAGAATATAATATTATTATTAAATTATATTCGAATTACTAAAACTTCATTAGGTGAAAGTAACATTTTGAGTTACAAGAATACATTTCGAAATCACCTAAATCATTCAGCAGATAAGACCTTGTAGAAGATAGTAATTTAAAAAAAATTATGAGCTGACCTTGGAATATATGGGTTTACATACTATTTTTCTTACCAACGTGTTGTCTTATAAATGTACTTCTTAAAAAAGTTAGAATTCAATAAAGTATTTACTTATGTTATTAATATTGTAATTTATTAAATTGTAAATTTATAGTCATTTGAAGGAAAAACTAATGATGTATAATTAATTTTGAGATGACTAAAATATATAAAATAAAAAATTATACAATATTCGCAATTTCTACAAAATTAAGTTCATATTTTGCTGGATATGCACATTATTATTTTACAATACATAATATTATATTTCATTTGTATACTTAGTGTTTGTATTAAAATAGATAATTGAGAGTGTAGCAGCTATGATTGATATTAATTAAAATATTCAAAGTGTTATGCATGAATAAATATGATATGCATATTATAAAGAATAATATTTATATTATTATAATATAATATAATAATATATTTTATAATATTATATTGACAAAGAAGTTTTAATATATATTTCAAAAAATGTTATTTCATTTGTTTGACCGAATTGCATCAAAGGTTCAATTATTATTGGGTTGAAAAATATTAATTAAAAATAAAAAAAAAAACAAAAAGTACCCATCTAAAACATATTTTAATTGTTGTGGTGACGTTTTAATCATATAGGTACATATAGGTATGCTACACCCGTATGTATTATAATTTCGTAATAATGTTTTAATTTTGTTTTTTAATGACATTCACTTTAATTACGAAATATGTGTAATGTTGAGAAGACTTTAACTCAAAAATAGATGATATGTGATGAATTTACCTGTACACGATAATACACGACCTACAAAATATTAATTATACCATAATATATATTTTATAAACTGATAATTTTATAGTAGTGACCCTGATCGCGCTTGTTATGTTACCATTAAAAACAGTGTGGAGTGACCGGATTAACGTGTTGGTGTGTCACGTCGTTTTATACCAGCCATGCATAATTAAAAGCCTATACACATATTTGCTTAAGTACATTATATTTATATAATATCTATCAATAGTCATATTATTAATTATTATCATCATTATAGGTACTGGTGTTATAATCGCGTATGCATTTTTTTTATAGTTATTTACGTGTCAGAATAATTCGACAATATTATCAGCTCACCGATATCTATGATTAAATTGCATCGTTTCATTCAAATCCACTGTCGCCGCTGTTACCGGACAATAATATTCAGTTGAACAAGCACACACACACACATATATTTTATGCACAGGTATGTTTGGCCTTTGGGTAAATCCTTATAACCTTTTCCTGTTCTGTAACGGAATATCGTCAGCCAACCATTATGTGCGTAGGTATATGGTACTAATATAAATAGTGGTTTAACAGCCACCGATAATGTTCTGCTCCTTAGTTTATGTATAAATATATTATATATACTCGCATATTCACCAAGCATACCCACTTTTTCCTTTTATCTTTAATTCAAGTTTTTGAATTCTTAATTATACTTAAAGAATTTATTTTCAAGTATTTAGATTTGTTTATGTGTACTATTTTAGGATTGTACTTTAATGATACAAACTTTATTTTTGAAACGAGCAATTGTTTTTTATTGTTTACTGCTAAGAAAATGATTTTAACGAGTATTTTCCGAGTAATTAAACTTAAAGTACTAAAGATTACAATAGTCCATGATAATAGATTTAGAATTATGATTGAAAAATGATAGTAATAATTAATATAAATTTGTAAAAACTTTATAATTTATAAATATTGTTCATATATAATATTATAGTAGGTATCTACAATGAAATATAAATATTATATCTATTTTATATTTTAAGTAAGATCATTATTCATTATTTATAAAGACTATTATCCTTAGTACCTATACATAAAGTTTAATAATTCAGAATATTGAATTTAGATTTGAATTCGTAAATATAAAAAAAAAACAAAAAACTTCTGATTAACAATCAACAGTAAGAAATGGCGGAGATCCATATAAAAAAAGAACTTTGTAGCTCTTGTCACTGCAGAATAATATTTGAATGGAATAAAAAATCTAAATATTTGTAAATATGTTCATTAAGAGTACTTGAAAATGCCATAAATTAGAATTTGAATAAACGTGATATTTAAGTATAAATGGAGGTGATCATTTTTTGGTGAACCATCCCGCGTGTACATGTTACATCACGTGTGTTAATGTGTGCTGTGATCGTAAGTGATGAGATGTTATATCATATTTTGACAAGCACGCAATCCGCACTCGATACGGTATTTATACTCCAATAGTGGGGTTTGCACGTTATATCATCGTGCGTCATCCCTACACTCGATGGTGTATGGTGGGGCTTAATAATAATTCTTATATTTTGGAAAAAGTTGCGCGGTCAGTTTACTGCAGTACTTACAGTATTATAAACTTATATATATATATATTATATACACACACGGTACCTATAATTATTGTCACAGACAATTATAATCATAACAATAATGCATCAATAGTCCTTTATCTCACAAAACGCAGAGACACAAGGACTCTTTATAATTATTGTTGCGTACAAAACGAATCAATAAATTATTTTAGTGTAATACGAATAACTATTAGCACAATCGGCTCACCGTAGACGTCTGATCGCATCCCAACATTTGATAGTAATCGTCTTGGTCCGACTTGTCGTACGACAGTATCTCCGAAACGCTGGTCATCTCGCGTGCAATCAATCGACGTGCGTATTAGAAAATGATATTATTGTGCACTGTCAAAGATATTATAGTGATCGATGCGATTCGTCCGCGCTCGTTGATTGTTACGATCGTATTAACCGGCTAAGGACGGTAGAAAAATAAACCATAGGCAAAACAAATCCGTAGTCGTCGCCGCCGCCGCCGCTGCTACCGGTGGTGCGTCGCTGTTGCCGTCGTTATCGTATAGCCAGCTACCGCTGCACGCCCTATCGCAATCGTGCGCGTGACTCACTGACCCAGATCGCGCGTGTACCAGACAGACACACACACAAATCTACATAAATATTATACACACACACACACACACACACACATACACACACACACACTGCGACGGTAAAACACTACATATACTAAGCCTACAACGGCGGTCGCTTTCGGGTCGGCGAGGGGAATAGGGAGGGGGGAAGGGCTTTCCCACTCTCCCGCTCGCTATATTTGATGACAAATCCACCGTCGTCGGTTTTTTCCACCTTCGTATGTTTATACAATGTAAGCGTGTTATGATGGATTTATCCTTTTTTAACGGTAAAATATCACGTTCATGCCAGCTGTCTATCCTTTCTCGCGCCGCGATATTAAATTATATTTCGTTATTATTACAACTATACGCTCGGGTATTATGTATAGCTGAGTGTGTACCTACGTATACATATATATGATATATATATATATATATATATATATATAGTGTATTATTGTCGTCTAAACGCGCGCGGTATCTGAAATACGTAAATACATATTATAATCAGACGCGGAAAATGAAAAAGAAAAGCTCCTGCGGTGGACTGTACGCTCGGTGGTGGTGGCGACAACGCCGACGACGACGTATATATTGCAGTGGCCGGGTTGCTGAGGCCGTGATCATTATACTGTAGCAACACGTTCCCCGGTAGCAGCCCCTCTCCTCTTACGCACCATAAGCCTATTTTCTCCTTCACCTCTCCGCTACGGCTCTCTCGTCAGCGCCTCACTCCCCTACTTTCATTCTCCTTTCTCTCCCTCTCTCTTTCTCTTTTTCTCTCTCTCTCCCTATATATATATATATATATATATATAAGGCTATCCTTCCAGCGTGCATTTACGTCATCGCTTTGTCCTCCGTCGCCCTTGGCGCACCGCACCCTGACCACACCCGATGTATATGTTCTGCAACCCCATTGCTATATTGAGTTATTGACGGATCTGTTTTTCTACGAGGTATATTACCTGCAACCTTCGCCGAGTTAACGCGTGAAATGCTATAGGTACATAACAATATTTATTGCATATTACATGTAAAGGTATTATTTGTATTATTGTGTGTACACGCTCTAGTAACTAAAGGATGATGTATATATGCGATATATAGGGATGTTCGTGGTGATGAGAGGGTAGACACCTGTCTCCAGCGTGTAAATAGTATAACATTATACTTCGTTCGGACGATTGGTGGGTGGAGAGATGAAGGTAAAAGGCAAACGGAATGGAAAAAAACTCACCAAAATTATAAGTATAATAATTCACAGGCAAGTTTCCTAACGGACCATTTGATTTAGGTCACTGTAATTGAATGATAGATATGACCTACCAGGTACATAGTGTGAAAAATAATTCATTATATCATAGTGATTTATGGTGGATTTTCGATACAATATCGAACGTAATGCGGACAAGAGTAGAAGATAGCTTATAAGTTAAAAAAAGTGTTTTAATGTACCACCGAGTATGGTTTTACCTGCAAAATATAAATATGGTTTTCTAGATTGTAGAACAATGTACATAGGTAGGTTAAGGTATAAAACTGTGAAACAAAGGTTGAAAGTAAAAGTTTGCTTCGTATTAGAAGCGCTTAAAATTGGAAAAGAAACTGGAGATAATAAAGTAGTATCGGAAATCTTTAAAACTTTAAAAAAATGAAAAGTAAGTCGCATAAATTAGATAAAAAATACGGGAATAAACTATTGGTTTAAAAGCGATAGATATCACGAATTAAGAGAATATAAGATATTATATTCTTATTATTTCTTACAATAATAAATGCATAATAATCAAGGTTAAAGTCATAATATAAAAATAAGACGCATTATAAACGATACAAACACCGTGATCGTAAATAAGATAATACGTGGTTTTTAAAGCAGGCACGTCATTGATAAATATAATATTATATAATATACGTATTGTGGTAACAATATGTGTTAGTGGTAATATGCACGATTTGAATAAGAATGTTTATTGTTTAGGTAAACCTATTATAAACTTTTTAATGATCTTAAGTAGTTATATTAAACAATGATTTTGTTAAATTTGAGTTAATTATAAGTAGGTCTATTTGCGAGTATCGAAGTGTAAGTTAGTTGGTAAAGAAATTGTTTTGAAAAGTTTATGTATAAAGACTATTAGAGTAGACTGCTAAAAGACAATTTATTTGCGCCCTTATTTTAGAGAGTAGAAACGTTTAGAAATTAACTATCGGAGTAACGATAGATTAAAAAAATAAATTAAAACAATATAAACTGTTTAATATGACATCAATTTTTGTAGTGGTATTTATATTTATTTTTTATAGAAATCAATTATTGTATTGATAAAAAAAAAAAAAAAAAAATGATTAAAGATAGTATTCCTCTACATTAGTATTGTACTCGTATAGTCGTATATTATTAAGCATAGTTTGTTTTTAAATTTTCATTTCATAGTAATTAAATACTTTTTTATTTCTAATAAGTATTTGTTTTGAAAATAAACTGTATCCATCGGCTGTCTGTACATTGAGAACTGTTGATTGTTCATGTCAAACTGTAGCTGCATATAATAGATGTAATATTAAGGATGAAAAGTAAAACATTTAATAAGATAATAAAGGAATTAATTAAAATATATATTTTATCAACCATCGTCCATCAGTAACGTTTTAGTAATATGGAATTAAAACTGTTTCTAATTTTAACACACTATAATTTTTTATTTTAAAACTATATTAAAATATTATTTTAACACGTACTTTAGCATTATACATATAGTATTTCAATATTTTTTGAAAATATTTTTAAATTCTTGGTATGGTTCTGATCTTAACTATATTATAAAAAAAATGTAGACAATTTAAATAAAAAGATTATGCGTGTCTTATTAAAATAATTTTTTATGTAGAATAGACAAAAATATTGAATATACTACGCCGGTTGTCGTTTGCGCATCGCTATTGTTAATTTTGACCTTTTTTGTAAGACAGTTGCGTATCGCTCGATTTTTGGGTTATACATTATTTGCACATCAGCTGTTTAAAAGGTCTTACATAATTTGCGCATCAATATTATTTAACAATAGAACTAAAAAAAAGATGTATACCCAAAAGTGCTAGTTGTTTTCTAACTTTGATCTTAATATTTGTACATTTTCAAATTTACTGTTGTAACATCTAATTTTCAAATATTGTACAAATATTTCTGTTTTAAAATATATAATAGATAATATTGTATATTTGTATAGGTAATCAATTAGCAATAATATAACTAAGATGTACGGTTAACTAATCGATTTTTATCGTAAAGTATATCAAACGAGATAGCTGGATAGTAAAACACGTATGACGCTGTCGAGATGTTCGGTTTACGAGACATATGAGACATGAATAGTATATTATTAAACTATATTATATTAGTATAATTATTATAATCACAACTTTTATAATTGAGTTGAAACTTGAAAGTTATTTAACTTTTTAACTGTTATTATTATATAATACTTAAATACAATTAGTTCAATGAAATATTATTTAAAAATTACGAGAAAAATATAATCCTTGGGATGTATTTGTAATGCAATTTTAATGAATTTCTTATGGAAGTTTTCCTTATTGTATTAAATCGGGTGAAAAATTATTTAAAGTCGACTTTAAGTTGAATTTGCTTGTTTGAATGCTGATTTATTGTGAAAACTGATATTTTAAAGATGTATTGGTACTATTATTAAGTGCAATTGGAGTTGGAGAAGGCATATTGTATATTGTGCAATGCAAATTATTATCACATTATCACATCAGCAAGAATATCAGTGGCCTTTGATCTACTATAGGTCTTACACAGAGACGGCTCTTGACAAGCGCTGAGAGTGAAAAGCACACACAAATTTATTTTTTCCGTTGATAGGTACATGAAAAATGATCGTATGCGCTGTGGCTGTACATAATACTGTACTCCTATACATATAATTTTTTTTTTTTTATTAAACGTTTTATGTTTTGTCAACTATTATAACTAAAAGTTAAAGCAAAGAAAATATTGTCATAAAATATATATATATATATATATATACAAGCACTTATGCACTTAAAACCATGAAGTAGATATGCTGTAAAAATACAGAGAAACAATTTTTTTTTGTCTTTTGAATTAATAAATTTAAAAAAAATGGCATTTAGTAATATACAGATAATAAGTCGATATGTATGTAAGTACACTAAATATTCAATTAACCAGCAGAACTGAAACTAAAATATTCAAAACAATGAAGTATTTAGTTGTCATAGTTACATCTGTAAAATTATTATCTTACCGAGGACTTAAATAAAAATAAATTCTTATATTTTATATAAGAATATTTATATTATATTAATATAAATATTAATATAATTAATATTATATTAATATATTTTATATTTATCTTATTATTTTTATATTAATTCTTATATTCTATAATTCTTCAAATAATATGAAGAAAAACGCGACTACTGAATATAAATTCTAATCGAATAAAGGTTCTGCCCTTACGATGACTATTAGACTTAGGTACCCACTACCCACTAATCTACTAGTTACTACGTATTTATACATGGCAAGAGTGTATAGTGATCTACAATAAAACCGCTACTGATATTACATACGGGTATGGGGATTATTGGTAGACACTGCGCGCGATTAATTTTTAAATTAGAATAAACTATTGTTTATCATTACTTTGAATTTACATTTAATATTAAGTCAGTCAAGGATATGATGGCGCTGCGGCCATGATTGATAAATTTAAAATACATACAAATAATTATCAAGGTAGCCCACCCAGCGGGACTTGACTTGCATTTTAGCACACGTACATAGAATGTAGCACTAGGTAAAAAATTATACAGCTTGATAACTGATACAAAAATGTACTGAAAATATTAAATTTCTATTTATTTATTTTTTTTCATTACAGTAAGTTTTTCATGATATGTATTGTAAATACGTAGTACATGGCTTCATCGCTAAAAACTCGCGGGTGGTTATTCATCCAGGAATTAGCAATGCCAGATGGTGTTTAATTGCAATGCTAATCAGTGACTGCATCGAAACATTAAGCCACACCATACCCCTGTTTTACTTTTATATCAAGCTGAACTAATGGTAATGAAATGAGAGATCTTAATGATAGCTGGAGAACGAGCGTGAACAAAATACTATACCCATATAATGTGTACAACAACTAAAAAGTTATTTTTTCAAAATGGTAATCTTACGGTTTAAAAGCGGACTGATACGGGAGAGAAACCATATCAATGCGAAGTGTGTCTCAAGTCGTTCGTTGGCAGCAGTAATCCTAGATCCATCGGTTAGGACGGTCATTCGCTTGTACATGTCACAGGTATGTATGTATATTGTACCTACATTTGCACGGTTTTTCTTATGTGTGCGACATGCCGTTAAGCCAAAGCGTCTATCTGACGCCCATCTGAGGTATAAATACGAACATTTGCAATAGAATTGCCGCTGTTTTAAAAACATGTCTACCTGTAATATTTTATTAATAACGGTAATTATTAAGTATCGATTTGTTTTTCATCGTCTACTGCGATAATACTTTGTCATCGTTTATCATTTGCCATTAAATATGTAGATTTTTACGCATTGACCGTTGCGAAGCATAAATAGATTATCAAGTTAAAACTGTCTCGCTTTAGAGATACAGACACGCAATACACTAATGGATGTAATTTATATGAGATAATTTAATATACGAATAGCGTTTATTAAATGCTGATCATTAAACTCGTGACATCAACTCGGTGTCTTCTGAAATTTTACGTTCTGTATGATTTGATAACAGTTATTATTCTATATTGAAGCTAATTTTTACCCGTTTCGGTGCTTCCTAAATTTAAAAAATTTTAGTTGAAGTTTGTTTATGACTGAGATACCTATACCATAAGATTTGAATTATCCTTGAAGAAATGAATAAGCTGAGAGATCTATATAATTAATATTTTATTCTGATCATCATTAACATAAATATATAATTTGATTCGCCTGTACATATTTTTCCTTCCGTTCATATTTCGTGTCTATTATTTTTTTTAGTTCGAGTATTTTCTTTAATGAAGGCAAGAAAATTGTGCCGTGTCGTTATCTCGTATACTCGGTTTTACCTAATTACGACAACGACGAAAACAAAATGGTGCATGCGCCTTATAATAAAACGTCTTTAAATAAATTGAATTATTTACCATCCACGCATAAATATTGCCGCCACATGACGTCTGCGGGAAAACCACTCACGCGTAGTCATTAAGTCTTAATATTATTATCCTCTTGGGATGACTTAAATCTCGTCTCTGTTTCTCTTTTAGCAGCATTTCAGGGACTGTGCATTTATGTAAACGCATACACACACACACATACATATGTTTTACACATTCCGAATTTCTTTTTAAACATTATTGTTACTCCTATATCACTAAACTATCACTCTGTATTAGACCGTTTGATAAAAATAATACTTTATATTAACTGTGGCGCGTCCAGAATATTGCAGAATAGACTGAATAGAGGGGGAGTTTAAGTATTTTATTAAATTCGTGAAACATTCTTTATATTAGTGTTATCATAATGTATATATTATATCACAATGTCTAATAAATATTGTATTTACTAGAAGTACACAAGACATGAAAACAATTTACTGATAAGACAGAAATTAGGAACATATATAACATAGTGTACAAAGGGGAAGATTTCTAATTTAATTTAAGCGTCATTCATCAGTGAGAATAGCACCCGAGTCTCAACAACCAGCAATTTTTTCTCATGCCAAATTCCAAGTATTCATTTTTATATTTATAAAAAATTGAATAATACTGTCTCTGCACAACAATGAAAACATCAGTAAGTTTAATTTTAATTTTAAAATTTATCACGTATTATTATTATTTTTGAAAATTTGAAAATTTGTTCTTGCTTAAAAGTTGACGCGTGTCAACTGTCAAGTGTGTAATTTGAATGCCATTCAAAATTAATCCAGCGAAAGCACTTTATCGACCATATTCTCGCCTAGCTGTCTCAGCAACTACGTTGAATTCAAATATTCCCACTGTTATTTGTATTTAAGTGACATTAAGTTTTTGATATCGTTGTATTATATTCGGAACGACGACAGGAAAGATGGTATACTGTCAGCTTGTGCAGTGGGTGGAGGTGGTAGCCCTAAAATAGGAGGTTTTGGGGATAGTGGTGGCACCGGAACAAAGGCTAACACTGTAAAAGCTTTGCACCGAAGTTCGCCAACATTGGTTTCCTATGCGAATGATCTATTTCAACTATATTTTCACTGATTATTATCATGTACACGTTTTTGTTATTAAATGTTTATACTAAGTGAATCAGATTTTTATCGAAAATAATTGAAAAAAAAAAACTAAAAATAACCGATCATTTCTCATGCTTACGAATAACTCAAAAAGGTCAAAACATTTTAATACTTTAGTAAGTATAGAAAATATTTACATACATATTTGGTTGAAATTTTAAATACTTTTAATTATTTGTTTTTGAGTTACACAAAATTAACAAAATCGGTTTTTTCAAATACAAGGATTTCATAAAAATTGTTGAAAAATGTTGGGAATTTCTTACTTTTGACTTGTAAAAGTATAACTAGATCTACAATTTGTTATCAGAAACTATTCCTAATTGAATCATGTATATTGATCCAAAAGGTAGCAATAAAATAAATACATACACTCAATTGTAATTGTAAAATCAATACCATTCTTGTTAACAAAATATTTACATTATTTATACTTCCGAATTTTATTAGCTTTAAATATATTATTCCATAATTTTACTGTTTTTTGTAAACAATAATCAGCTAATGAAAATCATGAATAATATAATTTTATTGATTCATTAAATCAGTTGCTCTATCTAGTGCTCTTTAAACGAACTGTTCCGTAATACTCTTAAATTTCAATGAAATTTTACGTTTGTTTTCAATCATAAACTTTTATTTTAATGTTTTATTTATAAAACTATGATTTAAATATCGGTCTACTTGTTTTCAGTTTTGATATTTTAGTGTTGGTAAAAAACTTATAAATCATTTGAAAATATAATATTTTTAAGATAGGTATTTTATTATTTATTGACTTACTATTAGGATAGAGGAAAAATAGTGGTGTATCATTGGTAATTAATCATTATAAATAAATAATTACTGATAAATAATTTGATACCCAGTACCCACAACAGATATTTGTATTAAGGTTAAATTAGATTAATTTTGAGAAAACTGTGGAACAAAATAAATGAAAGAACTAAAATTAGATTAACTTTACATATTATATATATATACAATTGTAAATTACTATCATTCATTAGTAAATGAATTGTTAAATTTCAGTTTTAAATAGAAAAATACTTAGTTAAAAATCTTAAAACATGAGTTTTATATTTACATAAAAATAATTATATTATAACATAACAAACTATCAGTTTTAAAATATTTCTGTACAGGTACCAACTGTCTTAAACTTAAAAATATACAACATACACGTTGAAATTTGAATACGTTTGAGAGAATCCTCAACGTTATAGCTAACATACTAAAGTTCAAAGATAAAAATAAGGGAATTGATCATTAAGTCTCAAGAGACATGTGAGGGTTCTTCCTGATAGAAACTACATTTTTCACTGGATTGGAATTTCGGATAAGTAGTTCAACTGTAAATGGAACAAATAATAATAATCCATTTTAGTTTGGATAAAAATAATAATATATATATATATATAGCATTACCTATATAGTTTCTATTTATTTTAAGTTTAGATTTTGTACATTTGCTCATTTTGTTAATCTTTATAAAGTATATGTTAATTCTGGAATTGAAAGTTATTATATAACGTGTTAATGTTGGGTATGAAATTAAGACTGATCTTTCAAATTTAGAATCACGTAACAATTTTATGGTACTATATTACAAAGGTATATTTTAAGATTGAGAGAATTTTTTAATTTAAAAAATTAACTTTTTGACAATTATGGGTGTAACAAATTTGGATAGGTTAGAATTCGTTTTAATCTAGAACAAAAAAGAGGTTTACTTTACATGTATTGGTTAATATAATATTTTGATTTAAAAAACTTATCATTTATTGCAAATTGCAATTATAGATATTTGTAGTAGTATTAAAATAAAATAATACAATATAATCTAAAATTGGTTAACTATTTATGTTAATCTATACATGAAGAATTGAGTAATACGCTTGTAAGTTATAAGATTATAATATAATATGTAATACGTAATATGCTTAATTTATAATACCCTTTAGATGTGTTCATTATTTGAATATTGTTTTACACCGGCTTTCGTCTCTCAACTAGTTTTGGAATCTCGATGTTTTTAACTATATCTTAATTTTTATAATATTTCTTTAAATAACCATTGAAGATAGTTTCTACATTTTTTTGAATAATTATAAACTTTTTTACAATAATATGTGTATGATTGATGGCTTATATTGATTATAAATCAATACTTTTTTCTGCAAGCAAATACTTAGATGTTTGGTATATTGAAAAAGTTCATTAAATATAGCCAAGCTATCATTAAATTTTCTAGTCCATTAAGTTAAAAGTGGTTGATTAGCTTTTGTTGCCGTGTTTTTATCAGAATATGTGACTAACTTTCAACTGCTATAATATCCGTTATCGAAAATTGGTGATTTTATCCACATCGTGTTCAACGTAGTTGTGTTGAAAACAAATTACCAAATCTTTATCGAAATGTTGATATTCTTTGATAAACAAATTTAATACTATTAAACTAGCCAAGGGAGGGAGGTCTATGACCGAAGTCTACGCCCTTAAATGTGCCACTGGTAGCTACAGTTTTTATTAACGTTAAAGTAACAATATTTATGAGTGTGCCCGTATGACTGGCACTGCTTAGAGGTTATCGGTTCAATTAATAAATATATATGTTTGAAAAGCACTAAGGAAGTTTCACACAATAAAACAATTTAACCGTAGGTACCTGGTTTTGACAATCCTTTAATGTATCTTAATATTATGAACTATATTTTATAATATATATACAAAACTTTGTGATTCTCTTAATATTTTAACCAAAGTAAAATGTTCTTTAAATATATATTTCGTAATAAGAATTAATACTATTTATTTATTATTAAATAAGTATTTTTTTTTTTTTTTAATAATCCACATTATGTATGTGTTGTAATTAGTAGAAATAATAAAAAAAAGAAAGTATAAATACATATGAACTACACAATGTACTGTTGATGATTTCATAAAAATAAAGCTAATGGAAAAACACCAATCTTTGTATTGATACGAGCCATGAAAAA